GCGGTGCTGAACGCCTTATTAATTTCCGTAAACTTGGCGCGGAGTTCTCGCCGAGGGAAATTGTCAGAACCAAGAAATTGGCTGCAAGTGCCCGAGAAAGCATCTGGCAGCCATCTGGTAACGAGCCAAGCGTAATATTTTTACGACGATCGCCGGTAAACTAATCTTCGAAGCGTTCGGTCCACCAAACAGGAAGACAAATATAAAAATATATATGTATATAATATATAACAGACGATGGCCTAACACCCATTCAACGTAACACTAAAGAGGAGTCATGAATCTAAAATCCGTCGTGATCGAGGCTTTGGATCCGCTTATCGAATGTTTTCTGTATTCGAATATTTAAATATCTCAGTCAACGATGATAATTCGACTTCGAATACTATTTGGACGTGTCGTCCATTGATCGAATATCTGGGATATTTGTAGACTTTTCCATAGAGTTCTTCAAGTTCATTATTTTATGAACATTTGCATTTTTTTAGCATTCGAATGTCTAGAAAATATTCCATTATTATATTAATCAAATAGTCGCAAGCTCTGATCGTGTAATGTTCATTGCGTTTTGTCACGGAACGGTTAACGATTACTTCTGCAAATCGTTTCAGTTGTACCTACTCTTCTTGTTTTCATGTAGGTTTTGAATATTTTCAGAATTTCTTTCAAACTTTCGTTCGTGACTACGAATTAATTCCTTCGAGGATGCGACCTCGTATTATTAATTATCTTATCGCGTTAGAGTATGGTTATCGTTCGATTGTCTTCTGTTTCCTGCTTTATTCGTTGCTGAAAATTCTTTTTCACAATTATATAAGAACAACTGTTATATTGCATATAATTATTATATTATAATCATTGCACTATACAGATCGAATCTTTATTAAATTGACTTCTCATCGATTAACATTTATATGAAGACGATCAGATATGCTCGGACTTTTCTTGCTATAGAAAAAACTTTCAGCAAAAGAAGCTATGGCAGAAGTATTTGAAAATCATTTGAATAAGGGAACTTATCCACATTTATTTTCCAACGCGAGGTTAAATTAATAATTCAAGGTTGGGTAAACAACAGCATAGCTGTACTTGAAGTTTGTATCAAACGTATACTCATTTTTAGTTCAACACATTAGTGTTCTCTTCTTTTAATTTAATACTTCATTTTTAATCGTACACGATCTTGATACAACAAAGACCTATTATTATTAACGCAGAGGATTCACATAAAGTTTCAATAATGACATTGGAACAGCAATATTCAATTATTCGCATATTTAAACTTTGTTTGTACTACAATCAACAAAAAAGTGAAGCAACCTTCGGTATAATTTATTTTACACAGTATCGAATGATAATGTATTGTACATTAATTCAGCCAATGGCGTGGCAAGTGTCAAGTGCACGCTTTATTAAAAAACAAGACATTCTTCTTCTACACGGTGTTCATTCGTAACTTTTTAATTTTCTGCAGTTCTTAATTTCTGCTCGAGTTATCGATGTAAAATCAAATTTCTAAAAAATGGCCGCGCGTTACGTCATTTTTAACGCACACGTATACATACGCGATCGAAGAAATTTCTTTCGACTCCGTTAGATGTAAATAAACACTGCGCGAAAGAAAGAGTCTGGACTTTCGTTTCGTTGAAATTAATTGCCAAAGAGGATTGGATTTTGGGGGAATTTGGCGGCCTAGTCTCATTAAGCATCGAAAGGCACGCGCATGATGGGAGTACTTTCGAACGTTTCGCGAACGTCTATAAGTATAATAGTCTATGTCCGGTGGGCACCAATCCGACGAACGGACTATCATTTGAAGCCGCAGGACAACATATTGATTTCCTTCGTGGACTGGACACTGGCTATTATCGATCCGTTAAAAAGTTCAGGGCTGTCTCCCGTGTTTATATGTCCTTTGGAAACAAGGTTTTCAATTCGCTCGTTCGAGCCATCGAAATCGACCATAGAGAATAAATTCCCACCCACTGGCATTGAACGGGTCTTTCCTTCTCTGTGCATTAAGCATTCTGCATTTCTGCGATATAATCGTTTGCGACGATAAGGTGACGTATTTCGAGCACCTTGTATATCATTTCGTACGTAACGAATTCTTTATGCATAATGGCGCGCCTTGGTCGAGAATTAGTGTAATAATATAGCCAATATAATGGGAACGTAGTCCCTGATACAGAAAATAACAGGAATATGGAAATTAAAGCGAGCATTTTTTAAGTATATCTTTTAAATTTGTAGCGTCAACTACGTATTAAAAAATATTTTTTTTCCAATAGGTTGATCTGATATTTTAAATAAAAAGTCTTTGGATAGGAACGAAAAAGGACTTTGTGGAATATTTTTTCGTTCGCAAGAATGGACGTTTCGAACGGAGCGTTCGCGTTGCAGATTTCTAATTTCAATGTTATTATAGATGGTAATTAAAACGAAGGCGTTCGTGTCGATGAAAATTCTTTCTCACCGCGGTACCAGTTATCGAATTAACGGCAACGTTGCAGAAAAGGGTGAAACGATTTCGATGTGTTACTCCTGTTGTAAAAGAATCTTTCGGTCATTCGGGTTACGGTGAATCGGGGAACGCGTGAAGGCGGGAATCAAACGATGAAGATGGGTAGGGGGACGTTTGCACGCGATCATTTTACGTCGAAATACAAGAAAAAGAGGAAAAAAGAGATAGAGACAGAGAGACACCCGCCGTGGAGCGTATCATTTTTCTGTTTCTTTCTTAGGCCTGTGACTTTTTAGGTACTACTAACGTTGTTGTTGTTAGGTAATCGTGTGCCGTGTGCCGTGTGTCGAGAAGTATCTTTATTATTCGTGGAGTTACCTACATACACGTTTGTCGTTGGTTTGCTGTTGTTTTGCCGACACGTTGAGGATTTCTTTTTTCTTGGATTTGTTGCGCATTTTTTTGTCACGCCTTAGTGATACCACACCAATCTCATACGCCGCCGTTTCAATTCCAACCATCCTGATCCAACCGTGTCCTTTATTCGTGCAATGGACGACATGCATATACACGAAACACCGGGATGGAAAATAGTTCTTCTCGCTAGCAACGCCGCCAGCGGTACAACGTTCAAACGCAACTACTGTACTTGCGCAGTAGCTGATAGGAGATCTCCTGCGCAGGTATGGTAGTCGCGTTTCGTCGTTTCTCCGCTGGTGGCGCCAATAACGGGAAGAAAAACTATTTTTTGACCCGTCGAACACAGCACACTTTTAGGGGCCACAGACTAACGATAAATCTTGAATCGATCGTTAGACGAAACACTTAAGAAACGTAATTTTAAGATTACAATCGTATTATATATTAATCGTAGTACATAGGAATTTGTATAGTTTTGACCATCACAATTTTTACAGTTTTTAGTTGGTCCTATCACCGAAACACATATTTGTGTATAGTTTATATCTGAATATTTTAATTATTACCTTTAAATGTAATATGTGCTTCGTACAGAGAATTTTTCCGACCGGTCGCTGAACACTTCCATATGTTCTAATTGTTTATCAAACCAGTAGTATAACAGATATTATGGCAGTGTCGTACTGCCATTCAACACGACCATACGATAAGTACAGCAACCCCACACAATTTACAATTATCGTTTGAGCAGTCGTAACAACGATAGTTGTATAAATCATTGCATAAAAAATCGTTACATCTGTGGCCGTTATTACACCATCGTCACTAATTGGTTTTTAACTATTCTGACGTTGTTTCGAACTTTCGACCGTGTTAAATAGTTCGATAATTCGAACATATAATTAGATTTGAACAAAAAGATAGTAGTTTTCAATAATTCAACTCCCAAAGTAAATATTTGACTCTCAAAAGTATCGTAATTTTATTTGTACAATTCTTTCTCCTACGATATATTCTCACTTTATTATTGCAAAAAGTTTTCGAATCGATTTGTTAAATACTTTATTTACATGCTGCACACACACTGACACGAATAAACAATCCCTCTTTTTCCTTGTATCCCCGGTTCCTTAATTGTACAGAGATAAATGTACGGTTGGAGCTTCCTGTGTTCATCAAGTTTCATTGATTAACTCGAAACGAGTCAAAAAATTAGTTTACGATCAAGGAACTTTATGGACCGTAGGTTGTTTCAAGAAGCAAGTGTGATTATGTAGCATACTTGGTGGACTAAACGCTAAGAGGACTGCTTGAACGTGGGAATAAGCTTCGAAAGCTTCTTTTTCGCCGTATAATCCGCAATAAACTTTTCCATAAAATGCTAGTGTCAAATTCTCGAGTACAGCATACGGAGTCGATGTTGTTGGTCACGTATTTTTGAAAGGTAATAACGTTTCATAGTTCAGTAACTTCAACATCATTTTAAATAGTTTAGGAGAGTGGGTCGTTGCTATATCCGTTAATGAAATCGAGTAAATTATTACTAAAATCTTGCACTCGAGCCATACTTTCATAAATTGACTAATTTAAGTGGGTGTCTAACTCTTCACTTGAATCAACAATTTTATAAACGATAATATAAGTAATACAGACTGCCCCCCAAAAAATAGTGAGTTTAAAAAATGTACACCTATTGAAATAACTTAAATTGGGTTTCGTGAAAGGAATCAAAGTTACATTTTAGCATCGAATTCTAGAACACTTTCGTTCCATACTATTTGAAGTTAGTTTTGACAACAACATTTGCATCTATAGCTTTTATGCACTTACGTATATTTTATGTGAGTGTCTTTGACAATAATAGCGTTAAAAATTCCGTTCAAAGCCTCGACCAGAGTCTAGGTCAAAAGTGGGATATTTAGCATTGTTTAGCATACTTGCAGGAGCAAGCAAATACGATAAAACGGCTGACCAATAACATCGACGTAGTGTCGTAACCGTGAACGTGAGTCCACCAAGATCAGTCGACGAATATTCTCTGTATTAGATGTCTGAGTGCCGCTGCGTTCCTGTTGGCCGTGTCGAACCTTCTAACCGATAATAATTTTCGTTTCAGGGTGCCACCGGGTTACATGTATCAGTCACCATACCTGGCGACCGCGGCGCCAGGTGGTTTGGTACCGCTTCCGGCAACACAGTTGACCCACGCCGCGGCGATGGCGGCTGCGTCCCAGTTTTACGAGTATCAGAACGTCGCGGCAGCGGCCGCCAGTTATCCGGGGACATCGTACAATTTCGCGGAGGCGTATCCTTATACCAGCGCCGCCGCGGCTGGTATGTGTTTGAAAAGTGTCCAGAGCAAGGACAGCAACGGGCTGATACACCACCATCAGCAGCACACCGGCAGCAGCCCCGCGGTGCTGGCGCACCAACGATTGGAGAAAGCTCTCCTGCCGCCCTATCTGCCCTCCTTGCTACGTAGCAACGGTAGACAATCATTCGAGCGAAAAGAAAAACAGAACGCACTGAACAAAAGGGAACGCGAGAGAGTGGACGAGTGTGAAAGTGAGAGCGAAAGAGCAAAAAGATCGTGACACGTCTTCCTTTTTCGTAGCGGAGTAGCTGTGCTCGCAGGCTGAATCTCTGCAAGATTCCCACCCGATTCGTCGAACTACGGCCCGTCAGACCCACGGTCCCTAATCATTATGGGGCTAGGTAGAGCCCGGGTACGGGGAACGATGGTTTTTAACACTTAACCGGGTAGGGCCCCGATCCGTTCCCCTCCGATATTAACGTGCTCGCGCAGGATGATAGAAGGTCCCGTTCCTGTGTCTCGAATATTCAATCTTCGTGGTTTTCGGGGTTTTCGGAACGAGAAATAGCACTTTTCGAGTAAATTTTTGATGAAGATACCGTGGTAATTCTCCTATAGTATAGTTTTTTGGTTTTAGTAATCGATTACATTCATCCCCAATAGATGGCAAAATTACGATTCTTTAATATTCCGATGTTCCAAATTAGGAACGTATTCCATATTAGAACAACTGACCCTACTAAAAGAAAATAGAAAATCTTCACATTTAAAAAAATGAACTTCAAAATTGAAATATCGATTTTGTCTGCTTTTTGTCGTTCAAGCTTGAAGATTGACAGCCACAATCACTAACTTCTACGATAGTTATTATTTTTTATTGAAAAAAATTGAGTAAAATTGTAAGGAAGTGTTTCTTTTTCGTCTCAGAAACCAGAATACTATACGAGTATTAACATCAAAAACATGTTTCTCGATGTCAAAGGGTATTGGAAATTAAAATGATCGAACGATCGATCACGCGTTACCAAGATCTTCTGAATGTTCTGGTGTAAAACTCAGGACAGAGGAGATCTGTATTCCTGATTTCCTGAGATAGAAACTTCGGATAAAACAAAAAACAGAGAATTTTTCCATACATGAAACGTTATGGGGTTGTACGTATAATTTTCCCTTTGTTTAGCAAATGTATATTCTTTTCCCAAAAATTCTCTTTGCTCAGCTTTCCACGTACTGTTATCTAATACCGTATTAGAATATATTATATTTATTTGTTTTTAACACGGGTTTGCATGGATTATTCGCTTTGGTTTAATAATATTTACCGAACTATAAATATTTATATTAAATTATCGCGTATTTACATCTGATATTCTACGAGTCTTAGTAGTCGTTTATATTCTATCATTCTGCAACGGAGAAGTTAAAAATCAGAGGTGAATAGGTTGGATCTTCCCTTTGACAACGGGCCTGAAGTTTGAGAAACACTGTTTCAGTCAATATCTAGTCAAAACTACTGAATTTATAATCAAGTCTTTCGAACACACTCAGTATTCAATAGGAAGTCATTGAATTTCTTATAAATATTAATTTACTTCATAACCTGCAACAGTTTTAAAAATGGTCGTAGATAATTATCACTAGTCAATGGGACTGTAAATGCAGGTAATGAAAAATAATATAATATATACATCGGTAAAAGAAAATTAATAAAAAAAGAAATGTTTAAATCGCTTGGAAACTCGTTCATGTTACGTATCTGATAGAGGCCGTATACATTATTATTCTACGATGAGTCGTCCATCGAGTTGCAACGATAATTGTATGCCAAGTTATACAACAACCTTTAACATTTTAAAGATCATTTGAATAAACGTAACCATGATAGCTGTGCGGATTATCGTACGAAAAGTCGTCCGCAGACGTTTGGAAATTTTACTGTTTTCGGTGTTTTAAAGTTATTAACAGCCAAGGTAGTGTATTTTTATAAATACGCGTACGCGTGTAATGTATTCCGAAAATTGTTTTTGGAGAATTAGCTGCGAAAATGACATGCATGGGTCGTGAAAGAGCACTGTTGTTCCGTTTCGCGTAACACGGTAGATTTAGAGGAAATTAACAATTGTTTAAAGTGCTGCACGTGTCGATATTCTTTGTTAAACTCTTTTGTACTACCAAACTAACATACTACCGAAGTATGGAAAATAACCGGTGCAGAGAGACTTGAGAAATGGTTTTGTCATGGTTTCTCTTGCGGTCCTAGGGATTTCGCATAATCGTTTCTAGTGGGAATCTTGCTGCGGATCTTTTCTGCTCGTCTCACCTGTCGCTTCTTCAAATTGAGTTAGTGAATGTTCTGTAATGTTGATGTGTTTACATTGGATCACGTTTGCTTGTCGAGAAACCGTTTTACGGATTTGAATAACGAGTTTCGCATTCTGCAGGAGAACTTTCTTGCAATCTCTTTTTTTTTTCCGAGATCTCTACGAAATCGATGTTTCCATTACATTTACGATCGTGTCGGGCAACGATCGAGGGAGTTCGAACCGAAACGTGGATTCACGTTGGAATGTTGTCGGTTAATGAGTTACGATAAAAGAAAAGATATGTAAAAAATGGAAACGCGTCATTGCATGCTTACGCTGGCTTCGCACTCAACACAATGAACATGCAAATTTTGTTAATGCTCTGATGTGCTGACTATGGTGGTGGTGGGGAACCTTGTCACGGTGGATGACAGTAGTCTGTAAGCTTTCACTTTGCGATACTAGTGTCTTGTCGAGGAAACAGAGTTCAGTTTTTTTAACGATAGAACGTGTACAAAATTTTTTCCAGCACCTATGTTTAAGAAACTGGCGCGGGTAACCAACGGGGAACGAGCACTTTTTCGATGCAAAATGTAGGAGACAATCATTGCTAATAGATTACGTTTCATTCAAAAAAAAAAAGAGACAAATTCGATATCGAACTCAATTTTTAACCCTTAAGTGGACTCTCGATCTCAACTGAATTATTTTAGTTAATGTTGATTTTGGTAAATGGAAATCAACTTTTCTTTAAAACATTTAAGAAATAATGAACTAATGGAGGATTACATCAATTTTCAAATATTGACATATATTATACAATATTAATTTAAACTTATGAAGGACTGTAGCAGCCCTAGTAATCATGTTTCGAAAAACATTTTTTACCAGTATTCAAATTTTTCTCAAAGTCACGTGATTTTTTAAATACGTAGAAGAGAATTGATATTAATTGGATTATTATTGTTTTGTGACTGTTTGATATATCTAGTACGAATAAGAAAAACTTGATTTTTCTAGTCACAAAGGGCTTGCTCCTTCATCAATTTACCATAATATATGTAGGTTCCTAAATCATAGTTTTGCACTCTCAATTCGGGTTAAGGGCTACAAAATGTTGTGCCTCTCGTTGAAGATTTACAGTTCGAATAAAAAACTGTTCCTCGTCGTTGCCTGCGTCAGTGTCGACCGAGTGCAACAAGAACGCGAAAGGAGCAATTTATATTTTCTGGTTTGTTTTCCAGCAAATGCAGCAGCAGCTAGTTACGTGACACCGTATACGTACGCGGCGCTACCAGGTGCAGCAGGGTTGCCTGCAGCGGCGGCTGCAGCTGCAACGGCGGCGGGCGCCGCGTTCCCTGGTCTACCGTACCAAACAACGCCTCAAGAAGCGAGATTACAGTAGGACACGTACTCGCCGCCGCGAGGAGATCAGTGTCGTCGCGATGGATCACGGCGGCGTCCAGTTCGCGGCACGAAAACTCGATCCTCGCCGTATAAACTTCAATCCTCGCCTGTCGTCCTTCGCGCGAGTCCGCCGTCTTTGATCGTCGAGGATCAAGCGTCGTCAGCCATTGTTTCAGCTATTCGAAGTTTCGTTCCGCGTTTTCGCGAGTTCATTTTGGAAACTGGTGCAGACGGAACGAGCCACGTTTACGGGGGAGCGGCTGCACCGCTCAGGATCGACGACTCGCAGTTTCTTAACTAACTTAATCTTTAATCTTCCCCACCTTAATCTTCCTTTCCACGTTATCCTTTTGTAGGGCCGACGTTGGCGTGCTCAGCCAATTAGTACTTCACGATACGAGACTCGACGATTATTTATACGTAAAGAAGCACGAATAGAGGCTTTTCCCCGATAGACAGACGTTTTTGGGCAGAATACGAGTTCCCTGTAACGCACCGGAGCCACGAAGATTGCCCTCGTTGCGAGAGAAACTCGCTCGTTGAATGTTTATTATTTAATTGTTAACAGATCGCTGAACGAATATCGTATGTGGCGGTGGTCCGAGACATTTTTTAAATCCAATCGCGAACGATGTGCTTAGAAAGTATAGTAGAACTATTTATTGGTATAGGAATCCCGTCGTCTCTATGGGACGTTCGTGTCGTTTCCAAAAATGTTCTATTCCATCCAGGGGCAATCTTTTCAGCTTCTTCGATATGTACGTTCGCGGGATAGAAACGGATCGAGAATAGAAATTTATAACAGCGCCGTATAGTAGGTCAGAATAATTCGCTCCTTAATTCGTTTAATTAATCTGTACGTTGCATTTGACTTAAATTAAAAAATTGATGTAATTCTTTAGAAATATTCTATAAAAACATTCTTAGTGAGTAATCGTAATTACGTAAGATAGAATTAGATTTATTAATCAAAATCTAAATATAATGTTATTTTCTATTCCTAACAAAAAAAATGCAAGGTCTTGTGACTTTGAGCGGCGCTGTTAATTACGAATTAGTTCTGGCCCGCTGTACGTCGACACGAATAGGAAGACTGATCCGTATTCAGAATCGATATATTCTCGCGGAGGAAAATTGTCGAAGACGCGTTTCTTCCAGTATTGGCCGGAGAACCGTTCGCGATTTTGCTACGATCTTCATTCTGAATATCGGTCGAGGCGAAAACTTCACGTCTACACGTAGGAATAGATTGTAATCCAGCGGTTTCGTCGGGATAGTTTTCTATTTTATGCTTACGGGGGATTTTCTCCGCGCCCGACGAACCCGAAAGACCACGAATAAAACGGCCACCGGAGCTTCCGCGCGTAACTCACGGCTCAAGGGATAAGGAATTTTCGATACTCGCGAAACGAGTGTTCCAGGGTGTTAAACGAACGCACAAAGTGTTCTCGAATCGACGATTTTTGTGACGCCTGACCGCGAAAACTAATTGCGGAATGGAAATACCGAAGAAACTGATTTAATTTGAAAGAACAAACTCTGGTACTTTTCGTAATAACAACTTCCATAAAACGATTGGTGAACGTTTCTACCGTTTGGCACTTTGCTTCTTCGATACTTCCATTTTGGAATTGTTTTCTTGGAACGCTTTGTGCAACGTCGCGAAGAATGAGAAAGAAAGTTATAGAAATCTATTTCGGCAGGGCATTGCTTCGTGGATTTGATTTTTTTATTTAGAAGTATTCTCGATTAAGAAGTATTTTCTATGCGATTCGTTAGGACGAATGTCGTAGACGCTTTTAGGCGAAGCAACGACTTGTAAGTAGCGATGGCCACGCGTTGCAATCGCGTCGATGTTGCCTTCGATGTCGCTCAGCAGCGAAATCACCAAGTGTCTTAAAGACGATGCCTTTCTCGCGTGACTTAACGAAAGTTATCGAAACGAACCAACGTGTTTCGCGGTACTAATTCAACGAGGACCAACGGACGAACGAATTGGCTCTTGTTGGTTTTCGAATACCGATAGCGATGATCGATCGTAAAAATTGTAACACCGATACTTCGACGATGTCGTGGATAAAAGTTCGCAAAAAATTAATTGAAAAGTGAAATTTCATTGACGCGTCGAACCTATGTACATCGAATGATAAAAAAACTTTGATCGATTTTCCTGATCCTCGCGTTGCCGATGCCATGATTCATCGATCCGCAAGAAGAGTTCGTTCGTCCAAATCTTACAAGTGATCTGGTGCCTTAATTAGCACGAACGAATAGTCTTAATGGTTAGAAACTAGTCAGTGATTCGTTAGCGTGAAACTATTCGCTAACGCGTGTACAGGGGTTGAAACTAAATGGAAACGATTACGACGGTAGGAGAAAAAAAAAACTGAAGGAGATATATAACTAGCTAGCGCGAAGGGAGAGGGAGGATCGGGCTATGAAGAATGAGACTGTCTAGTCCTAAACCCTTCGAGACCTTAGACGAGGTTAACTCGATTCGTTAGAATTTTAAGTAGACGTTAATACGCATGAAGTAACTGAGAAAAGAAACCAAAAGTCTTGTAAAAAGTTAGCGAAAGAGGCGCTGTTAGGAAGGATTAATGTTAAGTATTAATTATTACATAATCGATCGATTAAGGTAATAGGAAAATAAATTAATACTATTGATATTATATTATTATTATTACTTATTAATTATTATTATTATTATTGCTATTATTATTGATAATATTATTATTGTCATTATTGATTATTCATTATTGTTCATGTACTTAACGACGAAACGAACAGAATACGCGAATCGCGCGAATTTATTAAGAAGCGAGAGAAAAAAATAAAAACGAATCTTCCGTCGCGATGGAAGGAAGTACCGAAGTCCATAATGAAACCGCGAGCGTAATCTGATCGCGGTTACCATGATCCTTTCGAATATCCTACGCCCTTAGGATTTAACGGTTGTAATATATCATCTGTTATCTTCAGTAATATTACTATTATACGCTCTATCGATAAGGTTAACGAGAGGAAACGAAAAATAACGTATATTGTCTCCGAGAGAAAGAAAATAAGCGAAACGTGTTTTTGTCTCACGATGGACCGCGACTCTTGTTGTCTGTTGCTTTCGCACGTCACCTGAACTCTTCGTGAGACGACGAAATACGAACTTTGATTACTGAAAAATTGAACAAAAAAAAAAATGAAATAAAACCTCAATTTTCACAAAACTAAAATCGTGTACCGTTCCATCCCCATCGTGTCGTCGTGATATTTTTAATGTCGAAAGTCAAGTTAGGTTTTGGAAGCAACGGTTTCGAGTCTCGATCTAACTATCGAACGATCGAGCACTTTTGGTATTCAGCCCTTATTATGTATTAATAACTTGTCCTGTTAATATCGTACGAATATTGTCGACAGCTAGTAAATAATTTTGATACGCGAAAATATCGAGCGCGTAAATTGCACGCAGCTCGTATTTGGTATCAATTCTCGATATCGATAGTTTCGTAATGAATACTGATCGATACCAATACCGTATAAAGGTTCATTTATATCTACGCGACGAGTCATGAACGAGCTGAGCTGAATGAGGCAAATCGATAGTGTTTTATCATTATTTCCAATTATTTGCAGTCCAACGACTGGACTAAAAAACTTACCACTCGTACGAGCCTTGACACGAACGAGGTTTTTATGCAATAATCGAGGTTCTATTGTACCACAGATAAAGATCTATATCAAGTATAAATATTGACTACCGATGTTAAAAAAGGAAATTTAGAATACTTTATTAAGATGAAATTGTAGACAATTGGAGAGGTGGTAGGAAACTTTTACACTCACAATTCGGGTTAAAATGTTCTTTATTTTATAACAGGGTACAGACCGACAAATCAACGGAGATCTGAATAATACAAAACTGACTGACTGACTGTGACTGACACTGACTATCTCTGATTCTGGCTCTGACTCTCTGGCGATCGGGGCCCGGGCTTATATATCCCCAGACCCGATCGTCTTTTGGCTCTTTCGTACCGGGTGCAAAACTTCCCGGCGCGTGCCGTGGAACCTTCTCGATCGTTCGACGATGTTCCACGGACACGTGCAGCCGATCGATTTTTGCACCCGGTCCGAACTGGCGGCCCGCGGCCCGCGGCCCACGGCCCCCTTTGACGGTCTACAAAGTAACAAACCTAACGGTCTACAAAATATTAAAAAAGAAACAGATTTAATTTTTTTAAAATAAAGCTGTATGTAAACAAACTTAAGAACGATGTTAGACTTGCAGAAAAAACCAAGACTAATGTAAATATAAATTGTAAAACAGATAAATTAAATATAAATTTTCCTTACGTTGGAATAAAATAAGATTAATAACGACTCGTTACTTAAGTAGTTTGGTATCGAATTGCTTGAGTATCATCGACGCGTATCAGTTTCAACGTTAACTATGGGTACATTCACAGCTGTTCCTCAGCGAATGTTCTTTTCCTCGTCTTGCGATAGAGGCGAGTGACTCCGTCGTCTCGTTGGGACTCGATCTCGTTGTTTTTCACCGACTAAAGATAATCCTAATGGCCTTGCGGAATTGGACGTCGAGCGTCGCGGCGGTCTGCAAAAACGAGCAACAGGGAAACCGCCCTCGACGTCCAACGAAGTTAGGCCCGCGACGGCGAAGTAAAAATAACCGGTCGCGCCTTTTGGCGAAATAACTCTAGGGCTTGGCTCCGTTTACGAGTGCCCATAGATTCGTCACTCCTCGAGACCGCCATTGCAATTCGATACGAAGTTCCGTTCAAGAAAAGACTACTATTCCTTTATATTAAATTAAAAAAGAACAATTTAAATAACTTGAAGTAACAAAAATATATTAAACATCATATCCGTGCAACTTCAAGCTTATATATTAAAAATCAGAAACGAATTTTTAGAAAAAATCGACAAGTTGGATGTGAAATTTTTCGACAAAATTAAAAAATTTCAAATCGTTCTGGGAAAATTATATTCGGTTGAGGGGATCAATTACAATCATTTTTGGTGAATAGACACACCCCCAAAATCCTACGCAATTTCGAGAAAAAAAATTGTTTACAGAAAATACAATGTCTGACCATGAATGATGATTCCCCTGAAATTCGGCGAAATTGAAAACTTTCAAATCATTCTGGAAAAATTATTTTCAGATGCGGAGATCAATTACAATCATATTTGGTGAATACACATACACCCGAAATCCTACGCACTTTCGAGAAAAAAATTCGAGTAGGTGCTGAAATTTTTCTGAAGATTATTTAAAGATTTCAAGATGGATGGACCTCATTAATGAGTGCATCGCAAATCCTCTATTTTTTATTTAAAATTGTAATACATCATTTATTTAAAAAATAAATAAACTGGGTGAAGAACGTATGTGAAACTATAAAAGAAGAACGCAGCCATTAGCTCATATTATTTGCTATGTAATTAATAATTATATTAGAGGATCTATTCCAGAGGAGTCCTGTTCCAGAAGAGGACGCTAAAATCACCTGTCAATTATTAGGTCGGTATGACAGGGCCACGAAAGTTCATGAGGTGTAAGGCCTACTCGTATAGCCTGTCTGTGATCGAATGTTAGTATAGACTGCAACCAACTGCAATACCTTCTGAATAGGGGTCTCACGGTCATCGTGAGCAGTTATGATAAGATGTCAGCACCGTTGCTTCATTGATAATATGTCCTCTGAATGACGCCCCCGCTTATCATTCGTTTTGATAGAGAAATAGTAGGGGAGCATTGCCATTGACAGAAGAGCGAGGCTCAGTTATCCCGCGTTTATTCGCGTAAACTAGAGCGCTCATAGCGCTCGGTGATTTTTTCGTAACTCGACGAACGAGGGAGGTCACGCGCAAGGAAAGACTCGAGGATCGCGATCCAGATAGGACTCGCGACCTGGAAGTCCTTCCTAAGTCCATGCGGAAGCACGTGGCCCTAAGGTCAAGGTGAGATTAATCAAATTCTCGCGTGTTTTCGCTTCCTTCTTCGGCCTGGCTTATATCGTCCGTTCAGACACCGTTTAACGTTTTCTATCGCGAATCGTTTCGGATCGCTTCTCCGTCCGGCAGCTTACTTATAGATCGTCCATCGCGAACTGACTAAAAAACACATTATTCCGTTACATAAACATCCTTGGAAACGTTCACAGAGCTTGCTTTCGGTATTTAAAAAATCGTAGCTTTGTCGTTCGGTTTCCAAATCTTCGATCGACTTTTCTTTTCGCGGTAGACATAGATTTATTTTTTACTGTCACGTTAAATGAAATACCTTCTTCGAGATCGCGATCGTTTGGACGTAGTTTCTCAAAGCGTTCGATACGAATTCTTACTGGTCGCGAAGCTTTGACGTCGTCAGCCTTCAATCTTGTTTGAAATCATTTCGAACCGACCGTCGCGAATTATCCTGAAATTAACAATGGCACTGTACGAATCAGCATTAAACAGTTACGGCCGACAGTTACGTCATTACGGAAGACGTTTTTCGCCGATGTCCACTGTTATCGATGATCGTCCACCAATATCTCTGACGTACGCGACCCGTTTTGTACATTATTTTATCGCCGAGAAGATATTCGCGTGTCGGTTCGAGCGCCGACGTTGCGAAATCATTCGATCGAGCGAGGCTGTCGCGCAGAAATCGTTCTTAGCGAATCGTTGATGCCAATTATCGAAGCAATTTGCTTTCTGCTGTTTGTGTTGTCCGTGCCCTTTTCCCCGTCCTCGCGTAGCTCTAGATCCGATTACCTAAATTGACGATAATAAACGAAAACGAGATTACGCTGAATTTTACAAATTCCACGACTTCGTTTATTTTTATCCTCGCGGCGGATCGTTCTTCTCGTTCGAGCTTTCGGTTCCTTTTGGTCGGGAAAGCCTGTCGCGAGGTCGGGCTTCGCGATTCTTAGCGTCTTGTAACACGACCAGGCGGAAGTAACAATCGACTGGAACTCCGTATTAATGCAGTCTCCAAGCGTCACAACGAAATCTGTACCCAGTTAAATTGCAATTGCGTAATCATCTCAGGTGCCCGTGGTGCACGCGACAATTACGCAGGGAATCGTCGGTAAATAAATCTGTTATGTCGAACGATTGCAAAATTTTGGGAATAAATTGAAATAGTTGTGCCCCAAACGAACAATAATGCAACTTTTCAAATGTTAAATATTGCGTTCGTAGTTCTAGTTATAGGTGTAAGAATGTAAAATACATACTTTATATTTATGTATTCGTTAATTTGCATAACTTTTTTGCTTTTACTTCTATCGTTTCTCTGTCGTGATTCTCCTTCTGCAGACTCACTGTTTCCGCGTCTAAAAACTAAATGCCACTATCACCGAGCAAGCGATCCTAAATGCATTTTACCTGTTTCGTATGCTTAATTCTATATTGCAAACATAGTACTTCTTATATTGTCAAGACCAGAATCATGGAATTATTCATGTTGAACAGATAAAACAACATATTCTAATTAGATGCAATATATTTATCGCTCTACAAACAGTGTGGACGTCGCAATTTTTCTTAGCGTTTAAAATTTTATTAAAGAAAAAAACAGAAGTCAGTAAATATTTTATTCCATAAATTTTCAGTGTGAAGTCAATAAATTAATATACACGTGGTCCTATATAAAAAATGTTCACTTTCAAGCAAACGATAGCTCATTAGCGTTGGCGTTTAGATACGCTTTTTTAGAATGGCGGTGAATGATTTGAAATTACGCTACACGGTTCTAATTGCTCTTGAAAAATAGAGGAGAGTCTCCCAAATATAGAGGTGTGCAATTTATTAATTGTTTTTAGTTTTAAATAGTCATAAATTAATGTCAAAGTTTGGAAAATTACTGACGCGCGTAATTTCTTCGCGTTATTTTTGTATTTTTACGAAAAGCTCTAAGCAATGTCGGATTCTGTAGACTTCTTTTGCAGAAGAAATCATCCACACGAAGTGAAACTTCGAACAAGTAGAGAAAATATAGGTGGTCGACGCGTGTGCGGCACTTTGCCGCCATGCGATCAGCCGCTCGATTCTCGATTGTATCGATTCGACAGGGTCGAAGCTATAACCAATATCAATGGGGGCGTTCAATGGGGCACCCACTATGTATAAATAATCCAATAATCTACACCTTGACTATTTTCGCTATTATTGTTTTTACAAAAGTACGTGTTATTAATTTACCTTGAAACAAATCACTTTAATTTACGATCTAGAACGGATGATCCATGCATCGTCGCTATCCAAGTTAATCAGATATACTATTGATAACAGGATCTATCGTACAAGGCTGTTATCTAGCATATGTTTATTCCAAATCACGCGTTAGATTATAAATAATTCTTACTCGATGGAAGCGTAATACTTGAACTCGATACGAATCGACAGTCACTGTTAATTTTACTTATCGCATCGCCTATCGACAGTTAAAGATTGTTTTCATTAAACAAGTTCACGATACCAGACCAAAACAGCAACACAAAAATATTAAATACAAAAAAGTATAAATATTTTGTCAGAATAAATTTTCATATCATTTATTCACGAATGGCACCCCCAGTTTATTGTCTATCCTGGAAAATTAATTCAAATAAAAATAAATAAATGTAATACAGGAATGGTGAGGGAAATATTATGATTGAAAGAAACATTAAATACATAAAAGTATAAATATTTTGTCAGAATAAATTTTCATATCATTTATTCACGAATGGCACCCCCAGTTTATTGTCTATCCTGGAAAATTAATTCGAATAAAAATAAATAAATGAAATACAGGAATGGTGAGGGAAATATTATGATTGAAAGAAACATGAAATACATAAAAGTATAAATATTTTGTCAGAATAAATTTTCATATCATTTATTCACGAATGGCACCCCCGGTTTATTGTCTATCCTGGAAAATTAATTCTAATAAAAATAAATAAATGAAATACAGGAATGGTGAGGGAAATATTATGATTGAAAGAAACATTAAATACATAAAAGTATAAATATTTTGTCAGAATAAATTTTCATATCATTTATTCACGAATGGCACCCCCGGTTTATTGTCTATCCTGGAAAATTAATTCGAATAAAAATAAATAAATGAAATACAGGAATGGTGAGGGAAATATTATGATTGAAAGAAACATTAAATACATAAAAGTATAAATATTTTGTCAGAATAAATTTTCATATCATTTATTCACGAATGGCACCCCCGGTTTATTGTCTATCCTGGAAAATTAATTCTAATAAAAATAAATAAATTAAATACAAGAAGATTAAGGGAAATATTATGGTTGAAAGAAAAATGAGTTTGTAATTTGGTGGAACCTTGTGTTCTCGTACATTAAAGTATTTTTCAGATAAAAAATAAGCAAGGTAATATCATTTCTCAAGTTCAATGAATTTACCGATTCGTCGAGCATATAAAAACCGGAAATTTAAACGTTACAGCGCTGTCGGAGGGATATGAGCAAAGGTTGTGGAATTTGTGGGATTTATCCCCGGTGGCTGCGACATCGTGCCACCCCAAAAAATTTCATCGCTGTGTACGGTCTCCTTGGCACTGTGCAGGCGATGGCCTTCATTTACATCGTTGTCACCCTCACGACTCTGGAGAAAAGATTCAAGATACCTAGTCGCACAACTGGTACGCATATTTAAATATTATTAATAGATTTAATCGACTAGTTTCGTTTCTTCCCCGAAGCATATACTTTCCCCTTTTGACGTTTCGTCGCACTATCAAATGTCATAAAGATAATTTGAAGCGCTTAAATTAAGCGAGACATCCTGCGTGACAACTTGTCGGTTGTAAAAACGTGGCCTAAAAAATTATTTCGCCGTATCAACTTGGACGAAACATCTCGATTATATTTTTACGAGTATTGCATTGTTGTTGTTTTTTAATATTATAACGTGTTTCTACTCGTTGACTGCGCCATTTTATAATAAGTGCAATAAAAACGATAAGCAAAATAAATAAACGCGATCGAGGCTCGTGAAATCCTGAAACGTTGGAGTGTTTTGGGTTTCTTATCTTCCCTGCGATTGCTCTTGTCACCAAAGCCGAATAGTCGAGTGTCGCGAGTGTACTTGTTAAAATACTCGTACTTGCACACCCACACGCGTACACGGTCGGCCACTAACAAAGATAAACCGTACGTCGGTGTGCGTTCATCTAGTAGGTAAGTGAGTAGTGTGTCGCAATCATAGAAGTGAGAAATCTGTCGTTAGAGCTACGAGCGCTGGACACGCACTGCGAAGAAATACGGATGTGCATTATACGAGTTTATTGTTAGTCATAATATACTCCAAGGGTACATACACGAAATGCATTCAGAGACGTAGCAAGCCTCGCGTTCGATTCATTCCCGATGAACTTTGCTCTCGCGAGAAACCAGAGGAATCGTATTCAGAAATAAAATATAAACACTACACTTTCATTCTTGAAACTTCCATTAATAATGATAGATGAAAGGGATAACAAGTTTGTCAGATCAAATAAGAATTGCAAAATTATTAGAATCTCGTTGAGCTCGAGTTTCTTCGAATATTTGTGATACTGTCAATACGAAGTTCACGAATTCTTGATCGATTCGTCACTGTCGTACAGAGATACAAAATTATTATAGATAAAGATTCAAACCTCCATGTATCCATTATAGATTTGAGAAAAATTAAAAATCATTTCGATCGTACACAATAAAATATTTTACAAAAGAAAACAAAGCAAAATACGATTAGTGGTTATCTAATGTTCGAGTATTGCCTATCTCTGCTATCAGTCGTTACTCGACGCGTTGGTGTTTTGCAACGGAAGATTATTTACGTTCGCGTGTACACGATCGAATAAATGTTAATTGCGCGTGTAGTTGCTTCGTGCGAAATCGATACGGTCCTTCTACACACAGGAGCGTTATATTCATCCAAGTTCGTGGTTTTACGAGGTCGTCGTTGCGTTTGATCGATCGACGTCTACGCGGACTCGTTGGAATTCGATATCGATTTAAGACGATATAGTCGAACCTCGATAATTCGAATCGCGAAGGAAGCGAAAGGAATATAGAGATTTCGAGGTAAAAATTTGAACTGTAGAGTATTTGTGCAAGGATTTTCGAGTTCTGAGAACTCCAAAATAACTGTTTCAAACGTGAGAAACGAAAAAATGTTGTACATGTTATGGATATATCGGTTATGGTTCTGTAACTGTTACTTTTTAGTTCTGTTTCGATTACAGTTCGGTTCTATGTACATTATTCGATTTTGTTACGGTTTTTAGTTTTCATTGAACTTATGAAAATATTTTTTCTTACGATTACATTTGTTGATATGATTTTATGATTTTTTTTTATTTCTTTTTCCCTATGACTTATGACAACATTTTTTAGGCCTTGGTAACCATTTCAAGGACCAAAACGACGAAGAATTGACGACATAGGGTATTATTATCGTTATTTTTGAAACTCTTTTCGAGCAGTATCACATGGTGCAGTATTATTTTTCAGGATTAATTCTTTCCGGGAACGAGATCTCTCAAGTTTTGTCGCTGATATTAACCTACTACGGAGGCTCTGGACACCGTCCAAGATGGATCGCGATCGGCGTGGGTCTCAGCGCGTTCTCGTGCCTGGTCCTTGCTCTACCGCACTTCCTGTTCGGTCCTGGCAGGGACGCGCTGGCGTTGACGAAGGAACACCTCGATCAAACTCTGTTGAACAGCACCACGGCCCCCGAGGACCTGGCGATCTGTCCCCGCGTCGTAAAACCGGAACGCTGCGACGAGGAAACGCTGATGGACGTAAGCATCCTTCCGCGACTGTTGGTGTTCCTCTCGCAGTTCATCCTTGGTATTGGCACAACGCTCTACTATGGTCTAGGCCAGCCGTATTTGGACGATAATACCAAAAAGAAAAACACTCCTATGCTTTTAGGTAAGCTTGCATTTCGTTAAAAACCAGAGAGCAACTGTTTATTCACTGACTCAGAACAGTCAAAGTTCGTTTGATTTCAGTAATTTTATCGGAGGAAATTTCTACGAAAACCGAATTATTTTACGTACTATTTTTATGAGAGCATTCTTTAAAAATTTCTTTTCTAAATATATTATTTATCGACTTAGATTCGGTAGAAGAAATTCTTGAAATATCTTTAATTTTACTTAGCGATTATTGTTTGAACGTAAACACTCGCTGGCCCCGGTGTAGGGGGATCGAGAAAAATTCCAATAACGTCAGAGGTAGGGGAAGTTAGTCAACGCTATACTTCGACGGTAGGTCGCCATAATGATGCATTTATGCGTATCAGGGTTGGTAATTGCATTTCAAGAATAGGTCAAAGTAGATACGTGTCTGCGAAGCAAGACGATTGTCTTTCCTGGAATTTTTCACGACTTCCCTAGAATAAATATTTGCGTTCGTCGTAATTACTGGTAAATAAATAATTTGTATTTTGTCGATCAGGTTTCACGTTTGCTCTGAGAACAGTCGGTCCGGTTATAGGATTTCTGTTGGGTTACGGTTGCCTCAGCCTATACATAGATCCTGCTTTGCATCCTGTGATCACCAAAAACGATCCACGATGGCTGGGCGCATGGTGGCTAGGATGGATCATTTTAGGCGCCACGATGGGCATGTTCGCTATCCTGATAGCCATGTTCCCGCGTGATCTGCCCACGAAGAAGACCGTCGCAAACGACACTGCCAAGAAGGTAAATTTGATGTTTGACGTTGTTTTGGTGAGTCAAAGTTACGTTTCATCGTTGTTTCCCCTTTTCAGACTCGATAAATAAATTGTTTAGCGGTTCTCTGACAAGTTGGAAATTCATTTTACCTTTGTTTAGTTCTACGAATTCAATTCCAATAGATGTGGTTCTCTTCTATCGGTTCATTAGAATTTTTCTCTTACTCTCTTCGATCGTTCTACGAAACCTAGCTGGAATTAGACTTTCTACAAGTTCCACCAAGGTGTAGTTTCCTAATTTTAGTTGTCTCATTTCCAGAAGCTTTTTTCGAATTGTTAATTCAAATTCTCAAGTATTTCATTGATCTTGGTTTCATTTAATTGCCCGTTTCTTTTTTACCAATAGTTTGTGTCAGTCAAGTTTAGAGTTCCTGATACTTGAGGAAGGCAGTAAGGGTTTCGATAAATAATAAAATAATAATTTAAAAGAAAATTCCATGATTAAAAATTTTAATATAGACAGATCGAGGTAGACAAATGTGTTTCTGTAGCTGTCTTTTGATATTCTCTAGGACGGTAGCATACCACTGAAACTGCATTTGACCGCTCAAGAGCGATACATGACACCGATGGAACCGAGGAAGTCGCTCGAGACGGAATACATACCGACTATTCGTGAATTTCCAACAGCCATGAAAAGGTTGCTAACAAATTGGCTGTTGACGTTCAACAATCTAAGCGGGGTGTTTTACGTGTTGGGTGCGTCGGCTTACATAACATTTTTGGCGAAATATCTCGAAGTTCAGTACAGTACGTCCGCTGCTGGCGGTACAGTCATTACAGGTATTTTTATTTCTTCGTTCGTTTGTTTCGTATTAGTTTATGAACGAAAAGAAGATAAACAGACTCTTAAAGGGTAATCGAATACCATTTAATTAATTAATTTCTGTACTCAAAGGTCCGATATCGTTGGTGGGTATGGTATTGGGATTCCTGTTCTCCGGACTGACTATTAGCAAATTCAAACCTGGACCTAGGCCACTGCTTGCATGGAACGTGTTTGTTGGTGTCTGTTTCGTCGCCGGTCAAATACTCTTCATATTCCTCGGTTGCTCCGACGTCGGCTTCAAAGGCCTCGACTTAGAGACTATGCAGTGAGTACGTTTTCTCCTTCATCGAGAATAAATAGTTAGACCAATAACCAACTGATTTCGACTCACTGCTTCGAGGTCGAATTCAGAATAAAATTATCACAAAGAATTTTCGTAAACTCAAGGTTTCGTCGTGTGTTAACAAATTTAAAGAAACTTGCATTATTATGACGTTGTTAGTATATCATAAGAATTTTACTACTCAAATGTATTATTCACCGATGAAATATCTAGAATATTAAAATATTCTAACAATAACAGTTTTAGTTTTACCTTTTTTTTTTATTCGTTGCTTAGTCACTTCACACCACTATTACACCACTTATCCAGATTTACATGTTTTAACGTAACATTTCTCTGCGATTATTCTGCCAAATGGGAGTGAAACTTAGTCGTAGTATATCATGAGAATTTTCCTACTTAAATGTATTATTCACCGATGAAACATCTAGAATATTAAAATATTCTAACAATAACAGTTTTAGTTTTACCTTTTTTTTTTATTCGTTGCTTAGTCACTTTACACCACTATTACACCACCTATCCGGATTTCCATATTTTAACGTAACATTTTTCTGCGATTATTCTGCTAAATGGGAGTGAAATTTAGTCGTGCAATGGTTTCTTTCAGAATGAATCTGTCGTTCAGTTGCAACCAGGATTGTAACTGCGAGGGCGTGAAATATTCCCCGGTTTGTCACGAGGCGTCGAAGACGACGTTCTACTCAGCCTGTCACGCTGGTTGCCGGACCATAATCAACGACAAAGAGTTCGGTAGCTGCAGTTGCCTTCCTCTGTCCTACTCGTTGATCCTCGACGACCACTTCCGGCAGTCGACGAGCCAGCCAAAGTTCGACAAAGTCAGGGCCGGGCCCTGCACCAGCGACTGCAGCCGCCCCTACCTCCTCTTCATGGTTCTCACGTGCGTGATACAAACGTTGGCGTGTTCCGGAAAAATTGGTAACGTCCTGGTGAATTATCGGAGCGTGGAGAAGAGGGACAAGAGCTTCGCTCAGGGCATCACGTTGATGACGATCTCTTTGTTCGCGCTGATACCGGGCCCAATTATTTACGGAGCCATCATCGACTCGACTTGCTTGATCTGGGAAGAGTCCTGCGGGACCAGAGGGAACTGCTGGTTCCATCACGGACGGAACTTCCGGTATTTGGTTAATATAACGTCGGCGGGTAAGTTTCTCGTTCGTCGATCGATTCGTAAAAATGAAACTGTTCGATCGGGACACGTCGAGGCTATTTTCAAGCTAGGGGGGAAAAAAATAAGATTACATAGAACTGGGCGATTTTCAGGGTTCTCGATGATAGGAGTGCTGTTTGACGCGGCGGTTTGTTATCTCGGGAAGGATTTGGATTTGTACGGCGCCCAAGACGTGGACAGACGCCACGAATTCGTCAAAGAAGACACCGCGGCGTCGATCGCCGATGGCGAGAAGAAGAAAGAGATAAACGGGAACGTTAACTGACGAACGAGCTGACTGGGGTTGTTATTTAAATGTATAAAATTGAGATTACACCGAGAACTGTTTGGTACCTGAACGTTAGAATCATGATCAATGTCGAGCGTGAAAATATTACGAGATTAACTAGGAACGCGTAAGATAACTTTTTAGTACATTCCATATATTCGAATTTATAGACGTTACAGATTTAAAGCTAGAATACTCGAACGACGTCGATCTACGTTTATAATTTACGTTCGAAACTTCTCAGACTATTCGTACGATTGTACAATCCCTAATTGTTTGTAAATAAAATACGAATTTTTATTAAACTTGTGATCGTCTGCGTCGTGTTTCCGAGAGAGTAACTTTCGCGCTGCTCCCGTTAAGTCTACGATAAACAAACCGTAATGCTCTACGAGACACCGGCGTCTGAACCGATTATATAAAAATAAAAAATAAGCAAATAGATTTTCCCGGGCGCTGCTCTCCCTTTACGGGCGATTATTCAGTCAAGTTCGAGTCAACTCGCGCAGATTCGCCTACGCTATTTTAAGACGCTTTCAACGTCCACAGCTTGTGTTCTTTATAGTTAACTGTAATTTAGGATTTCAGGTGCAAGTCGTGTCCTCGAGAGGACGATCCAGGATATTACGACGGAAGCAGATACTCACGGAAGCAAGAAAGAATAGGTTCCTATAATGTTATAAAAATAATTATTACTGCGATATCGAATAAATACGATTGTTAATTATATTTGTTCAGAGACGTCAATTATTCTTTAGCAAATTGGAGACCTCGACGTCTCTTGATCTATCAGTCAAGATAAAAAGACTCCGACTCGAGATATTATAGAGAAATTAACAAACGCCTTTTCCAGGTCGCCATCACTGAATCGTACAGGGTATCTTGTAGCTATTAAAAAAATGTTCAGGACAAAATGTCCTCTTAAAAAAGTAGGACAGGCTACTATTTCTGTTTCCAGAAATTTTAAATACGATTTTGCATTTACGTTTCCTTCAAAAAAGAAGGGTCCAATTGTTTTCCGGTTATGGATACCACACCATAACAGATTTCACGTTTCCTTGTTGAATCCAATCCGCAAAAATACAATTACTACTACACGATATAGCCTGTCCCTTTGTTTTTTAATAACTACAATTGTTTACGAGATATTCTACTGCACTCGATTGACCAAGACGCCAAACCAAGCGACGCCCGCCGCCTTTTTTCCAGCATAACAAATAACTTAATCTAATCTTTCAGATCGTAAACTTAAGCGAGCGAATCGATAAAGCGACAGAGGCAACTTCTCTCGACAGGCTAGATAACCCCATCAGCGCGAAACGCGACATCGATGGACGGAACGGGTCTTGAGCTTGAGTTCCGGTTAAGTCCCCCGCAAATAGGGCGTAATGTCGACCGGGGGGGTCCGGGCGTACGAGGAACAGCGAAAAGGAAAAGGAAGAGGAAAAGGGTGGAAGTATAGTTAAATCGGGCGATCGATGATACCGGTTGATACCCGAGGTGGAGAAAGAAAGCGGTAGGAAATGGGGTAAGGTCTTAAGGGTTGTTTTCAGGCCTGCGTTACCGAATTCTGGACGGAGGGTTGACGTCGCGGTGCAGGGACCTCCGGTAGTCAGGGGATTACAAACCCGCGAGGCCGAAAGTAAAAAGGGAGTTTTTGTTTGAGAGCCTTTTAATTTTTAAGCCCGGCCAGACCGAGCCCCGGAGGAGGCCCAGCCCCGTAATGAATTCCACGACGTTCTTATGACGTCAGGACGTCTCTATCGATCGCGTCCTCAGACACGCTCTTTGGAGGATGCGCTTTGGCATTACCCGAGGATTAAGTGCCCTGCCTTATTCCTCCGTAAATAAAGAAAAATCGCGGCCACGATCGTCGCGCGTACCCCGCCGTTTCTCAGTCGTCTCTGCCTCTAGGCCGAGACGCCTCGCGAACTAGGGATTTTCTTGCTACCCGAGCATCGCGTACCGCGACGATCGGCCAGGATTCAGGAAATCTGCGCTCCTTTAATCGCGAAACGCAACGATTCTTTGCTAATTACGCGCAGCTGCGCGCCTCGCAGATATTCCGAGCGAAAGAGAACTCAACGATCGCGATCTACAGGGTGCAATCGTCCCTCGATGTTTCGAATCAACGAGGTCTTCTATTGTAAATCGAAAAAAGAATTCGATTTTTTTAACTTTTTGCAGTTTCTTAAGAAGGAAAACCACAATGACGACTGAAAATTTTAACTTAATAATTTAAAATCTTTGATTTGTCACAATAAATGACTCGATAATTTTCCACAGGAAACAGCTTGCATCGAACGATATATTAAAAAATATACGATTCCATTTAAAAAAACATTAATAACATTCGCATATCCTCCACGTGTTTATTTACGAAAGAAAAAAAGTACTATATGCACCCCTCGAAATCATTTAATTTTTGTCTCAAATATTTTTCAATATCATCACAGTCGATAACTGTTGACGAATCATACAAAATGTCAAAATGTCTGCCAATATCGGTTCTTCGTAACTGATACCTTGTTTTCAACCCCTGCTGGTTGGCAACCCTACCCAAAATGGCGACATTGCCGACCGTTTCGAGACCTAACCTCCATAGAATATGTTGAAATTAATATCTAAAATCGAGACTGAGAATAAACAGGGATTGAGAGAAGCAATCGTATCCGATAAAATGCAGACGTTACGTAGTTACGTGTCGCTGTCACGGAAGATCGACTTCGAAATTCGACAGTTTTCATCGCGACTGACCGCTGGAAACGACGCGAACGCGTTGTCGCGATCGCGCAGGTCAGCAACGCGATGCAAAGTTTTGTCGTCGTGTGTACACAGTGCATTGTACATGACCCTGACCCAACTTTCATATAGACCTCATCAACGTCTTCTAAGTCGAGGTACAGTCTGATCTAGACTGTCGTCGACAATGCGGATCGGACGAGGATAGACGTACGCAGCGCGGGCAGCCGGAAGTGACCGGTTTTAACCGTCTTCTTGGTCGTTTCAGCGTATAATTCCTTTCTGAACGATCGATCAAGACCGTTCATCGACGGTCACCATTGTTTTCCAAATCTGTGTCTCTCGTACTTAACGATCAGACGTTCGACGATATTGGGGGAGGGTGAAACGAATTGTCGAGGCTCGTGACGCCAGAATCGCCCGATGCGCGCGATCGTCAATTTGAAATATCCGCGAAAACTTATCCGTGAGAAATACATCGCTCCGCGAAATGAGTTTCGTATCATTACGAACGGTGTTGCATATAATACTCTTTTGTGCGAGGAAGAGCGTCTGTACATAAATTGCAGATGCAGAGTTGCATTCAGTGTGGATCCAAGGACTCGCGATGCAACTCAATGCAGACGAAAACGAAGTATGCGACAGCATGGGTATCGAGTGTCCAACGACATTGGTCGTTGAAGTAGACAGTTGTTTGCCTAGGGTGAACCATTTGGGAATTGCCATCTACGGTTTTCCATTCGTTGATTTCAGAAAATAGTAATTACCGATAGAGTCAGTGCTTAAAAAGAAAGGAAAATTTTCAATTTTAATGTCCATTTTATATTTAAATGTTACGATCCTCTGGTTGACATCTTTAAACTCGCGATAAATTCCCGAAATAACCAATCGACGATATGTTTTTGATATTTATTTTGTTGCTCGTTGAATAAATAAGAACTGAAAGTTAATATCGTATCGAGTCGGTTGAATATATTTTCTAATCGATTATAAAAACTTTGACGGGACCGAGGAATTGCGCGTTCAGCGTCGACGAATAAAAGGCCATTCGCCCTGGAGAAAAACGGCGATTGGCATTAGCTGTGAGTAATAATAATGATTCTAATGCAACTCGTCCGGCCTTGATTCTTCTATACTACGAATGCTGCGTAATTTAACGAAGCGAGTGGGTTGTAGCGTTCAGCGCCGCCTAACGAAAAGGACAATGTTCTAAAATGGCTATTTTTAGTACGCGTTGGACACCCCAACGTATACACGTAAAAAAAAATAATTTTTTTTAACAGTAATATTAGAACTTGTTCCACCGTAAAAGAAATTATACTGAAATTTCATTTTAAAATAATTTTCTTTCGTATAGATCGAAATGTATAAACAACGCAATAGCTAGGAAGTACTGTACACGTAAAAAGAAGAATAGCGTACAACGTATATGTATCTTCCTACTTTTTACCAACTGCATAATACAAATCGACCTTATTACGTGTTGCATTAGTAAAATGCTGCAAACACGGGGATTCCCAATTGTGTAAACATTTCGATTCAGATATCTGCAACTTCGTGCGTTTTGTGGAACTGTCTTAGCCTCAGTTGCTTTTAAAAAGAATTAGTTAAACAGTTCTTTTTCTTTTAATACTAAATTATTTTATAGAGATAGTCGTCCAACTTCGATCGTTCCGTAAGTAAAGGAATAATACTCTATTATCAGTATGTATTACTTAGAAACAATAATTCGGTACACACGTAGACAATAATCGAAGGAAAAATTGTCAACCACAAACCATTGTTTTACAACGTACGTGTCTGAATTCACAATATTGATCAAACGCATTACGTAATAGCTGGATCACTGCTAACTAGATCCGAAGCATGCAATTAACTACGCGTGTATCAGCATCGAGGGGCGATGTAAACGAACGAACAAAGTTGCTCTAATTGTAAGACAACTCGAAATAACGTTAGACTGTGATCAATTTGTTTTATTAAATCAAATAATACCCTATTTATGACGTATTTTACTTGTTTTAGTCTGCAGATTCATCCCCCGAAGTACGATCGAGTATTCCAGAGTCATCCAGCGAACACAATCAAATTAACACGGTGATAGCGGTAAGAGATCCATCGAGAAAGAATACAATGTATTATATGTATGTCGACAAACATTCACTGTCGCTCGTAATCAAAGTAAATAGCAATCAGACGAGTTTTGAATTCCACGCTTCATAGTTGCACCTATCACTATTTCACTGCGTGAAAATATATTTACGTAGATAAGTCACGTCTTATTTGACGAGCATGTGTGAAAATTTTACAATAATTTATAAAACGAATCTTTTCTTTCATTTTTATTGTTCAAAGTCGTACGAAGGTAGACGCGTCGTACCTGGATTAAATTTCTCCTCTCCAGAGCCGATGAAAATATATAGTGTCGTTTGAAATAAATATCGACGACCTTGAAATCTCGTATAATATAATTCTAAAAAAGAATTTTCTCTTCCGAGAATATTTGCCCCTTCGAAATGTGCAGTCTCCTTTCTCGACTTTGTTTGCGTATGTTTAAAAGAAACGGAGATAGAGCCCGCAAGATTAAAATCTTCATTAATGCAAACACAATGTATATTTTGTACATACCAACTATCCTTTCGACGTATTATACCAAAATTCTTAATACTTGTGGACACAATACATTTTTTTTTTCTATCTATTTGAACGTTCAACGTCATCTATTTGTGAAGACTCCCATCTTACATAAGCGTTTTTAATTTTTCATAGTTTATAAATTTCGTTAACGACTACGTTGGAACGTATACAAAATTATTTAGTAAAACATTCCTGACAATGGCGAACTATACTTTCAAAATTTATTTCCAATAAAATAGAAACTAGTGCCCAAAAAAGAAAAAAAAATTTTAACGCGAAATCTGTCGATCGAGTTTGCGAAAAGTCGCGCGGGAATCGGCAGGCCTGTCGTGGATATTATTTAACAAAATTCGAATCGCGATTTTTACGACGTTTGCTTTTCGTCAACACGTCGCGCGATGAGTAGACGTAATTAAAAACTTCACGCGTGTATCAGGCAACCGTTCTATTTGTTTCGATAAAACGGCTCCGATGTGTTCTCGCTCGTCATGCGGCTCCGGCGTCGTTTCACAAATGTCGCGCGAGTTGATGTGTGTTTCGTATCGTGTAAACATCAGGTACGGTGAACTGATTCGTATATCAAGATGGATTTCCAACTCTCTTCTCTTTACGACAATGAGGACGTCTGACGGAGTCTGGAGCATGGTCAATGTCAGGCTCGTCTACGTATCGTAAATTTGACAAACGCTTTGTCGAACGCGGGGGAAGCGAACGTCGAAACGAAACGCGAGCGTTTTTGAACAAATTAATCAAAGATTTTCCATCGTAAACGAACGCCTCCTCGCGAATCCGCGATCCGTGATATAATTTTATTTCCAATATCTCTTCGTTCCTGTCACAACGTTAGAATGTTTAATGGTCGGATTAGAAAAAGTAAAGGGATCAAAATGTTCGTTACGCGCGTCGACGCGACGAGATTCACCGCTAATTTATTGCTGCCTTATCTTAGATGTAAATTTTCGCCAACGAACAAAACATTTTCTGGCTGTTTGCGAATATACGGATTTCGTGGCTGGAACGTTTCCTACGAGTCATGCCAAAAATTCGTTGCCAATGGTGTAATTCACATACGTGTTCCTTGGAACGGAAGGTCGTAGGCGAAGTTACGGTCGCGAGCGAAACTACGGTGGCCCAAGCAAGGTAGAATTTTTACTTTTATGTGGGGAATATTTTATTGAAAAGAAACGTATGGAAAAAATCATCGATGTCTCCCGTTCTGGGCTCAGTGACGCGGATTTAACCTCGTTAGTTGTCGCCTAGTTATCCCCACCACTATCTCACAAGTGGTATCTCTATATATATGTTTTTTATTTTTTTAAACTTTGACACAAATATTTCGACATCGTAAAATTATATTCCTTCGTTCCCAAACATACGTTTTGATTTTAATTATAGTCAAATGTACTATTAACTTTGATTCAAATTGGTGTAGCTGCTTATTATAATGTTATATTATGTATCTGTGTTTTCTCCTATGTTATTATTATATTATACACTTATGTATGTTTCTCTGTGAAGTAGTGAACGTATTGAAGGGTTGATCTTGCCAGACTCCAAGTTACTCCAATCAGTACTTACGTAAAATTCAAGAAAGTTATATTTAGTAATTTTGTTTCTTTGAATTATTCGGTAGATCGTTTCTATATTTTGCAGATGTATTTATTCCCCGCTGAACTCGCATATTTGAAGACAGATAACAACGTTAAATTCCTGGAACATCCACCTATCTCGTTAATTATATTGATGGGCGTCGTTGGTTTAACTTTGTCTCAGATTCATCGAGATGTAACTGTATTATAAAAATAGTATTAATTTCGACAACGACGTTTAACATTATTTTTATCATTATCTTATCGTTATCTTCGCTTCTGTAAATTACTTGCTGCCTCGATAGTTCGTTTTATATTGTATATAATTCCGGTGCAGCGGAGACGTATTATTATTATTATTTACCGGTAGTGTTTCCACGGTTCTACGATCATAGTGTGCCCGTTAGAAAGATACACACGGTATCGTTGGTTGAGGCACGTGCATTCTGGATTCGGGAGTTTTTAATATCGCTTAATTATCTACCGCGATAACAAGATTTTAATCGATTTCACAATGTCTTTCATTCTTCTTGCCTCGTAGTTGCCAGAAACTGTTTGTTCAGACTAAACACTGTCTATTATTTGTCAAAAAAGTGAAGTGACTCGTTTGCAGGTACGCTTTCTTTTATTTACGTTGATCTCAAGGAAACTTTTTCAACAGAAGCGTGCAGAAATCCCATCGATAGAAACGTGTCGGAGGAAAGTGAAAAAATAACACGAGATGGAAAAATAAGAGAGACAGGTATATAATTTCTGTCATAATACGTTCGAATATACAAAGAAAATAAAATTTATCCGTGACATTTTCTACTTAAATAATAATACTTTCGCTTATGTCGCGGATTACTTCGACACTGTAAAGATTAAACGATACTCGACAACTGCAACATTGCACTCGAGCAATTCAGGAATCGAGCGACGCGTGATAACTTTATCTCCGTCAGAATAAAAAACATTTCATAGAAATCGGTCGTCGAAAGGTAGAAAAGTTGATTTTGATCGCGCCACGAAACGTCTCAATGCCAAAACAACTACGGCGACGCGGCTGGAGGCCGATCCGTTTTTCGATCGGAAAATTAAATTTCAGCAATTAACCACCAGCTATTAGCGGTGTAGCTGTTTGGTGTGCGCCATTAGCAATGCGCGGGAATAGACGGAAGAGTTTATCGGGCGCGTGTTGGTGTGCGCGTGTGTGTACATCACGTCGGCTCTATTAAATCATAATGGGTTCACAATGTGAGCCTCTGCTCTCGGAGGTTGACTAGAAACGAGCATAGACACCATACCCAAAGTCGAGATCTCGTCTATCTCGCTTGGATCTGCCGTCTTCCCACCCGGACCCATCTCCCAAATACCCATCGAATCGAACTTACGAAACTTATCGACTTAAAATTCGTCTCGGTACTTATTTTCGTAACCAAATTTATTTTTATTTAAATTGTGGATTAATTGTTTCAGTTTCGTAGAGAGGAGTCCTGTCATGAATGTGTGTATGACAGTGTTAGGTAAATTTTACTTCTATTTCTACTTGTTTGGTCGTCTTAGTCCGAATTTTAATCAACGAGGTAGTATTTGTTGGGTCGTATTGTTTTAACATCAATGTCATCCAAATTTGGGGAAATATAGGAATTCTTAAATCATCGTATTATCCACGAAACCTCCTAAACTTCGAGTGCCCACAAAATTCGCAACAATTCGATCCACCGCGATCTTTGCAGAACTGGTGGTCATCAATGGCGATTGACGAGGAGAAATTCCGTTTATGGCGTCGCGTAATTTTTTCGTCCAGATGAGACGTGGGGGTCCCTACTCCCGGTCAGTTAGGCATTATCGATACTCCACCGTGGGTAAATATTATCAAAAGTGGATCCGAAGTAGTGGGGCAGGGGGGAGAGGCAGAGTCGTCGAGAAACAGAATAGACATAGAGCGCGGTGGAGCGAGAGGGATCGCGTAGGAGGATAGTGATAGAGAAGGGGGTAAGAGGGGGACGCATAGAAGGAGGGAGGGATGGGGAGGAGGAGGGGGGGGGGCACACGAAGTGATTGCAAGAGAGGCAGAAAATGTGCCCGCTTGATAACAGCAACGCGGACCGAAGTACCATAGATGCATCACAGTTCTCCGCGTCGCGATCCTCTGTTGTCCGATCGGCTCTTCAGGGTCGATAGTGGGGATCCGCAGGAGGAACCGTCTTTGTCGCGCGTAGAAGACGATACCAGTTGGGACGGAATACCGTCGGTTTTCGGACACGAGATTCGCGTACGCCGCGGAAAAGCCGTCGCGACGCAGAACCCGCCCCCGCGAAACGAGCCCGCGTCTCGATCACGCGGATCACGAGCCACGGTCCGGGTGGAACCAGTTTCAGTGAGATCTTGGGAATCGATCGGGCCACCCTTCGATCCACGCCGCTGCGACGCAGCCTTGTTGTTACGTTGGTCGCCACGGGTACGTGCAATTACGTTTTTTTTTTTTTTTTTTTTTTCGTTGGAGATCTTTCGGCGACAACGATATTGTTTATTTTCGCGCCGGAGCAGCGTGAATTTATCGAGATTATCCCTCTGTCGAGAGACTTCGAAACAGCTCGAGGAAGTTGCGCTCCACGTGTATATTAAGTCTTCGGAGGAAGATCGACGCGGTTGCTCTGGGCGAGATTCGACCCCCGAAGCCAGGCGAATACGTTGGAAATCTTTGATCGGGTTATGGGTTTTATAAATATGTTAACGAGAAGCATTTACTGGGTTTTTCGGAACTTTATTTCACGGTAGACTGTGGTATCTGCGTATTTACGTTGCATTCTCGTACACTTGTTTGCGTTAGTGATAGATTTCTTATCGTCGAAGGAGCTTGGTGGTGCTAAAATAGACGAAACAAGCTTTTGATTGACGTGCAATAGCTTCTGAATTAACATCATAAAATAAAGTTGCATAAAGACGTCTGAATATGTATATAGATATTCTCCAGTATTGCCTCATTTTATAGCCAAATGTATGGGGAACAATGATTTATTTCATTGCATTTACTTCAAGACTTGTCAATGTGTCAGTTAATAACAAATCTGACAATTCTGGAAAATAACTGCATGTTAGAAGAATTCTTTTAAATGTTTCTAATTCAATCATTAAGGAGACCCTTTTCCAAACTTTATAATTAAGCATTCTTGAACAGAAAACTACAGGTTTCTTTTAAGAGTACCATGATTTACTTTTGTCGCGTATACTTAGATGATTTTATAAATTTTGTTAATCGAATTTTCCCTTAGTTTAAGAAGATTAAAAACAAGTAATGCAAAACATTCATAACAATGTTTTTCACTGAATAATTATAAAGACTCTAGGCTTCTCTGACCCATTGCCAAATTTCCTTTCTGAAATTGGTATACAATTTTCTAACTAATTTAATCAAAATGTCTCTCAAGCAAAATAATAACATGTATTTTTTTATACGTTAAAAAGACACAGACGATACTATACGATGCATACACGTTCCTTTTTAATATATTACACGTATTATTAATCTCAAAAATGATGATTTATAACAAAAATGAAGGCATTATTTTTTTAATTATTCCGAGTGTCACTTTCTCGTGCACTCCAGGAGCATTCAAATTGAAGATAAAAAAGACAAGGTTAATACACTTCGAACGGAATATTTTCAAGTCAGAATATTTATTGCGCAACATTTTGCGAAGCAATAACCCGTTATTTTTTTGGTAAAGTTCTGTAAGAATGTTTTAAGAAAATTATATTGAATTGAAAATACTTTGTACATTGATGCTCCAAGTTTAAGCTATTAAGTTCGACAATTGCCCGACAATCTTGAGAAATAAACATTCAAATACTTTAAAAGACCTTTCAAAGAATTCCTCGCCGTTAATTTGTTTCCCCCCCAATACTGATTCTCGCCAGTCATTTGTCAGCGTCGAAGTTTTGTTGAAAATGCGTCCTGTTAACGATCCCGCGAGTTTGACCGGAATCTTGGTTATATTTATCGGAGTTTTGATTTGCTCTGTGAATTCGCAGGTGGGAGAGGACTGACACGTCGCGAGCAGGGCGAGTAAATCCGATCGACGCGTCCATCGTGTTTAGCCACGCGGTATCGAAAGATGGAGAACACGTGACCGCGTAACGGGTAGAAACGGAAGTCGACAGAGGAAGGAACGGGCAACCGTGGGGAGCGGTTTCGAATTAATAAAAGCGATGCCAAGGGCCGCGAGAACGGCGGAGATACATAAAAAACGTGCGACCAGCGTTTGAGGTCAGAGTGATCTCTCGTAGCCGCGGAGATCGACGTTGCTCGACTGAGAAGAACGCGTGTCGACGATGAAGAATAACACGAGCAACCACGAGAAGAACGGGCCCGAGAGCCTGAAGCTGCTGAGGGTGCCCTCGACGCCCCCGACGACACCGACGACGCCCTCGACGCCCAGCTCGAGGGGCCTCGAGGACGTTTTCAGAGAGCTGCCCATCACCGATGACACCTCCTGCGGCATCTGGTGCCTGCACGGCCCGACCTTGCAAAGATTCGCGAACAAAAAGGCCTACGTGTTCCTCTACGGTGTACTAGGGTGTATATTCTCGGCCAGTTATGCGTATTTCAACGGCACCATCACCACCATCGAAAAGAGGTTCAAGATACCCTCGAAAACCACAGGTCAGAGACTAAATCGGTTCACGGTCGTCGTTCACCTTCGACGATTACGTCGAATATAAAAGAATAGGAAACACGTATTGTCCATATACAGGGTGTTCGGCCACCTCTAGCAAAAATTTTAATGAGCGATAGTAGAGGCCAAAATAAGACGAAAATCAAGAATACCAATTTGTTGATGGAAGCTTCGTTAAAAAGTTATTAACGTTTAAAGTGCCGCCCTTACTGAATTTTTTTCTCGAAAATGCGCAAGATTTCGGGGGTATGTCTATTCACCAAAAATGACTGTAATTGAACCCTACAACCGAAAATAATTTTTCCACAACGATTTGTAATTTTTTAATTTTCTCGAATAATTTCACACCTTCTCTATTTTTTTTCTCGAAAGTGGGCAGGATTTCGTGGGTATGTCTAATGACAAAAACTGATTGTAATTGACCCCCGCAACCGAAAATAATTTTTCCACAACGATTTGCAATTTTTTTTCTCCGTTGAAAAATTTAGGCACCTAATTGGATTTTCAGTAAGGAATTTTTTTCTCGAAAGTGCGTACGATTTCGGAGGTATGTGTAATGATAAAAAATGATTGTAATTGATCCCCGCAACCGAAAATAACTTTTTTAGAACGATTTGAAAAATTTTTTTTCGCCGAAAAATTTCAGCACCTACTCGATTTTTTTTCTCGAAAGTAGATAGGATTTCGGAGGTATGTGTACTCACCAAAAATGATTGTAGTTGACCCCCGCAACCAAAAATAATTTTTCCAGAACGATTTGAAATTTTTGAATTTAATTGTTAATAACTTTTTAACGAAGCTTCCATCAACAAATTAGTATTCTTGATTTTCGTCTTATTTTGGCCTCTACTATCGCTCATTAAAATTTTTGCTAGAGGTGGCCGAACACCCTGTATATTACCAAATCACTGTTCTATTATCTTTTATAACTATATTCAAACATTTAAATATTTAAAGCTTGGTGATAAATATTGGAATACTCGAATATTTAAGTATTAAATTAATCGAATAAAAGAGGATTAGAGATGTGTATTGTCGATCAATATCTAACAAATCAATATTTTATTACTTTTGATATTTATATTGCAACGTTTGAATATTTAGAGCTTATTGGTAAATAATGGAATACTCAAATATTCAAAACTTATTCGTAAATATTCAAGTACCAAACTGCAAATAGTTGCAACCTCAGTTGGAAACTATCTATTTTGTATGCATACTGCTAATTATTATTCGTGCTATTGTTCTACAGACTTCGCGGCGGTACAGTAAAATATTTAACCTTGTATCGTGCAATGGTTCACTGAGAAAATTCCATAGGATCTGTGCATTACGTTTTTCTTACTTGTTATTTCATCGAAACATTAATTAAATCATCGATAAATAACTAAAAAATACTTTCTTCTTGCAAAGATAAAATACGATTCGTAGAGTAGAGGATTAAATCAATCCCTTTCGGATTAAAAATTTAGACGTCTCTTTTCTTTGTATTTTACTAACATTTTTTTTTAAAAGAAGCTATAAATATAGTGAAAAATAGATGCAAAAATAAGTGAAAATAAAAGAATAACATTTTTTCGTTCGAGGCCTTGTTTTCGAGAAAATCGACTTTAAAAACTCAGAGTACACGCGTGCAGTAGAGTTTAAGTAGAAACAGTGATTAATGGACAGACACGCCAGGCAAATCGTATTCAATCGCACGCGTTTTAAATTATCTCCGGGACGAAGCATTAGACGAAAAAAGTTACTCCATTATTCCCATTGTTTTTAAATATCCCTGTAAACATTACAGAATTATTTACTTTAAAATATGTACACCTAAACGCTAAATAAAATTTATTCTTCGTGATATGTAAGTTTCCAAAAAACAGATTTTATAGGCATTTCTTCATTAATGTAATTTCATTTGTACATTTCCTAATGTTTAAAAAATATTTTTGTATAGTTAAAAATTTAGACAATTGACTCGAAGGAAAACCACGTTCTCTTCGTAATAGTAAATTCTTCGTCCGTGGATATTTTCTCTTAATCAAAGCGATACTTTTCTCGTGTCAAGAAACGTCCTCTATTTATTTTACCAGTATCGAATAAATAAAAATAAATTTGCAATTTTCATTCTGTATCTCCTCGTTTCTTGCATCGATGCAACGCGTAACTAGCGACTTATAACAGAAAAAAAGCAGTGTAAAAATCACCGATCGACGACGCGATTAAATAATCGCTGGACATTTAGATTTCCTATCGCGAATCAACACGACTGACCGATTTAATTGTTCTTCTGTATCGAGTACGTTAAACATGCAATTTTTGTTTAGGCCTTATCACCGTGGGCAACGATATCTCTCAACTGTTCGTATCAGTGGTCCTGTCTTATTACGCAGGAAGAGGTCACAGGCCTCGTTGGATCGCGTTCGGCATTTACACAGTAAGTTCTCGACGAATTGATTTTTCATCGCAACGCTCGGTTATTTATATATTTTTCTGAAGAACGCAGAGAAAAGTATCAGCTGTCGGCACACGCCCCGAAGAACGAACTAGGAGACGTCATAATCCACCGGTTGGTCGGTTCTTAATTAAATTAGGAAGCGTTGAAATCGTAGCTCTACGCTCATTCACGCCTCTTACCGTCGTACTCTCGCCACCGTGTGCTTAGCTAAGCGCTTCATTCATTGAACAGTGAAAAGACGCTGTTGGTGTGCGTGAAACAACTCGCGTCAAGTATTTTCAGTAATTACGGTTCGAAACAATTAGCGTTACAATCTGGCTTTGTTCTTTTAGCGACTTGGAAAGTCGTTTGGCTCGTTATTAAACATTTTTGAAATAATTTCGTTGCAAAACGTTTCGTTATTCGCGAACAAGAACGGTAATTTATATATTTATATTTGGAATAGAATTTCCAGTTGATTTTGATATATGTGGCATCGTACGAGTATTGTTTATTAACCAGCAGCCGCTGTAAACAGTCTACGACGCATTTAAATTCGTAGAAATAATATTCTTCGGGGGGGGAAAGAGTTTCGAGAAGCATTCGAGGAGACTTTTGTCGCCGTTTGTTGCAAATTATTCGTCAAATTAATTACTCTCGATTTATGTCTCGCTAAACAGTTGGATGATCGGTGAATTATTATCAGAGCAAACGTTCAGATAACGTTACAGTAAATATGTCGCGTAGACAATAGTGTTTGACAATCGTTGCAAACTCGAACTCAAGAAGGTGAAAAATCGTATGGCATTTTCCAAGCCCGATCTTGTTTGACGATCGCAATCTAAATATCAGTAAGTGTACACTCACTATCAATGCGCTGAGGCCTGCCGACTGAAGTAAACAGTTGAAAAAATATACCGTGCAAATCTGATATCAAACATTCTTCTCACATAAATTTTACACAAGAACGAATGTTGCAGATTTTGCTAACTTAAAAATTCTATCAAAAATTTTAATCGATCGACGAAACTTAAACGACGATAAACATCAAAGTAGTAACCTCAAATTATATATGCATATACCGTCCTGTAAATTAATCAATCTGAGCCCAAATTTGAAATTATTGCCAGAAGAAGAGCCAATTATTTGGATCACGAGAACCATACTTTTACAAGCTAGTCGGTGGGAAATTGGATTTCTCCTAAAGCGTCTAGGCGGGTGCGTTAATGAGGCTTATTAAAAGCGAACATCCGATCCGTTCATTAATGATCTTGAAATACAAGGTTGAATTTAATAGTATTTTACGAGCTTCCTAAGTTGTGTTAATTTAATAATAGAATATAGTTACAGGATATCCTTCATTTACTCCTTCGATCGCGAAAACGTATATTACGTCGATAAAAAGATGTTAATTTATTAAAGAAACACGTTAATAGATAAACTTTCGTAACAAAGCTCTTGTCAATTACTGGAACACTTACCTTAAGCGATAAAATAGCTCTTTGATTAACGTTTTATCGTCCATTAAAGTCGGTCACGTTTTCATCCGTTCAGGCTCCCGTTAACGTTTTTTTAATCAGCCACGATTGGGACTCGTTCTTATCGATCGAACCAATTAACGAAACGATGACTTGATTTGTTTGGCCTGTTCCCAAGGTGGTTCTCTTCTGCTGTTTGACGATGCTACCACACTTCTTGTACGGTCCTGGCGAGGATGCTCTTTTGCTCACGAAGGAGTATGGAGCCAAGCCGCGAAGTATGAACACGAGCCAGATTCCCGACAAGCACCGGAAGTTCCTCTGTTTCGGGAAGGAGAACCGTGAAAACGAGTGCGACGACTCGGACGGGAACTTCGCGCCTCAAGCGTTGTTGTTCGTAGCGCAGCTCGTATCCGGGGTTGGCGGATCCCTCTATTACACTCTGGGAGTGTCGTATATGGACGACAATATACAGAAGTCGAAGACACCGGCGTTGATCAGCTTCTCGTATTTCTTGCGAATGCTGGGACCTGCCATTGGCTACGGTCTGGCTTCGTTCGCCCTCAAGTTCTACATCAGTCCCACTCTAACGCCCACTATCACCACGCAGGATCCAAGGTACGATCGCTAACAGAAAGAATCGGTTTGGTGGTTGAAATTTTGTTCAAATGAAAAGTAATTTTGATAGTCCCTTCTAAGACACAAACTGTGGGTTCCTTGATACTAGAACTACCGGAATGATCAGTAATTTCTAATAGAAATTTCTATAGAATAAACATTTATTTCTTTGGTAGAAATAAACACGCCATAATTGTCGGTAGTTCCAGCGTTAATAATGTCGATAAAAGGAAACTTACGAGTCTGTTTGAACGTGAACCAGATGGTTGGGCGCCTGGTGGCTAGGTTGGATCATCCTGGCGTTCCTCCTCTTCGTCTTCGCGAGCATAATCGCGCTGTTCCCGAAGACGCTGCCGAGAGCAGCGGCACGCAAAGCTTTGGCCTCGGAACGAAACAAGTCCGCGGCGAATATAAAAGGGGAGCAAGAGTCAGAGTTGCCTGCCTCCTTCACGGACATGATGAGGACGTTCAAACGTCTGCTGACGAACACTACTCTGATGTGCAACAACTTGGCCACCGTCTTCTATTTCATGGGTTACATGCCTTATTGGATCTTCATGCCCAAGTACATCGAGACGCAGTACAAACAGTCCGCCTCCGTGTCCTCGTTGATCACCGGAACGGTCGGTTTGGTGTTCAGTGCCTTTGGAATTCTTCTTTCCGGTCTGGTCATCTCCAAGTACAAACCCAAGGCTAGGTATTTAGCCGCCTGGAACGTGATGGTGGGAGCCATATCGGTGATGGGAATGATTTCTTACGCTTTCCTCGGTTGCTCCGCTAACGACAGTCAGATCGCTGTTCAATCGGACGGCTCTTTGAAGACGTTGTTGCCCTGCAACGAGCCGTGCCACTGCGACTATGTTACTTACAATCCTGTCTGCTCCGAACATGGTCAAACCTTCATTTCAGCGTGCCACGCTGGGTGTCGTAACTTAAAGGTACGCTGCTGCAATTTACTCTCATAATCTTTTATCAGATTCCGAACCTTTTTAACACTTTGTTCGCTACGTCATTTGGAACTATACCAGTTGATTCTCAAGTTGAAACGTTAAAGGAAATAACAACAATCAATTGTACGTTTGTAGATTCACAAGAACAGTAGCAAAGTGTACACGGAATGCAGCTGCGTAAAACCAAAGTTTGGACGTTCCTTGTCGCATTTGTACGCAAACACGTCGATCCACACGACGCCATTTCCGTTCGAGACCACCGTGCCGGACGCGACGCCATCTTTTGGCACAGCAGTTCCGGGGGCCTGTCCAGTGGACTGTATGCACAAGTTTTACGTATTTCTGGCGGTGGTTTGCCTGCTCAAGTTCAGCGGCGCCACTGGGAGGGCGTCGAACTTTTTGGTATCCGTCAGATGCGTCGACGAAAAGGACAAGACGGTAGCAATGGGCTTTGGATTAACTATTATGAGCTTATTCGCGTTCATACCATCCCCTATACTGTTTGGATTTATTTTAGGTAAGGCTACCTCGAAAACTAAAGAAATTAAAACTTGAATTACTGTAACTCGTGAGATCAAATGTATGTATTTTCTTTTTTTAGATAAAACCTGTCTCGTTTGGGGGAAAACATGTTCAGGTACAGGGAACTGTTGGCTCTACAACGGTGAAACATTGAGATATCTGCTGAACTTCACCGCGGCCAGTAAGTCCAATTTTTTTTCTCCATGGCGCGAAATAATTAGACGATTTTATACGATCTGGAAGAATAAGTCGAATATTGTTGATGTTTCTAACGAGAAACACCCTCGAAGTGTCTTTATCAGGTTTCAGGGATGAAATTACCCTCCAGAAGTTATTAATTATGTTTTTTTACAAATTGGAAAAACCACTGTTCTCACCTTTGCCACTAACATATTTTTTTTTATAATTTCGATAATTTTAAAGGCGCTGAAACGGGTGATCCCCTAATTATTTCGAGCGTCGCGAATCCCAGTTCTTTCCTCTGCGAGCTAGTCCGATTAATTGTACAATATTCTTTTTCTCAGGCTTCGTAACGATCGGCACGTTGTTTGATGTGGGTGTCTGGTATTTCGTGAAAGACGTAAAGATCTTCGACGAGGAGATCGAGCTGAAAGACATAGCCGAGGAACCAGGGGAGACACTTTGAAAGTAACTCATTAACGATCCAGTCGGATCGCTTCGTCCCAGAGGCGGTGGAGTAAAAGCATCAACAGCGAAATCGTCGATGAATAGGAAAAAAAAAAGGATGAGAACGGTGGAAAATGAGAAAGAGAAAGAGCGAGAGAGGGTGGTAGAGAGAGAGAGAGAGAGAAACAGAGAGCAGACGAATAAAGACTTTACAAGTACCTTAAGCATCTCCTTAGATATTTAAAATGCTCGTAATACCTCGGATAGAACTTACTGTTGGCTAGTTCGTTCGCGAGGCGCGACATTCAAGAAACGAAAACGAATTTTATTTTTTACTGTCCTCGTCTTACTGTCATTGAACGACGATATCCTTATCGCTTGCGGGAAGCCCTGTAAAAAATAATTGTAAGAAGGTTTACAGTAATCTGAGAAACTCGAATCGGCCGAATCAATACCACGTGTTCTATGTACAAAGTATAATACGAACAAACAAAAATGAATTTATATCCACTGGTGAAAGGAAGCGTTTTTACTTTACGTTCGTCGACCGCGGTGCGACGTGTCTTGTCTCTTGTAAATTATCGAAACTGCGGCGTTTCCGAGTTGCATTGAAATGTGTAATAAATGTAAAAAGAGTAATAATTACGATAAACGTTATGATATCATTTCCGTGACACGAACGATAATGAATGTTCCTTTTTTGTTGCTGAAAATTCGAGCGATCCCCGAATTTCGGTTCCTTTGTTATAAAAATAGTCGATTTGTGTAAATAAAGCTGCGTAATTGTCTCAAAAGATATATATCAAAGGCTCGCGAAGATCCAAATAACACGTCCGCAGAATTTTCATCGACTCGAATTTAATAAATTCAAAATTATAAAATATGATCCACGAACGGAAAAAAAATATTTAAGCCATTTAAAATTACCCCATAATGGAAACCAGGAGAAAAATAACAGATAATTTAAATAAATAAAACATTTTTATCTTCTGTCATATAAAACTTTCAAATACACGAACAGTGTACGGTTAAAACAATGAGAAAGAGCTTTCCTCAATTTTGGAACATTAAGCTCGATTCCATCGAGCGTTAGAAATCGGTGTGCAATGTTCCTTTGCTTCCTTTGCTAGATGTCACCGGGCTGCTGCTTCCTCGGGACTCTGGTCGATTCTCAAGAACCTTACCGTCCGCCAAACTGCTAAATCCCGACGAGGATTGTGCCCTCGAGGATGGTCTCATCGACGCCATGGCCACCAACGGAAAACCACCGACGCCTTTATATTCTGTACGGCCACCGCTTTCCCCAGATTTCACGGATTCTCCGTCCCCATCGACTTGGTCGCTGTTCAACTCGTATCGATTGATCAACGATTTTACATCCTTCAAAAAACGAGCATCGGATTGTGGGGGACGTGAACCAGGAGGATCCATTATAGGTATACCGACTTCGTTGAAGTCACCCTTCGTGCGCACAACATTCTCGCGTCCGTTCTTCGTAAACTCGAAGCTACTGGTCTTGGACGAACCGTCCAAGTAACTGTTTGGATCCTTCTTCTGACTGGCCAGCCTGAAATCGATGTGATTCGGATCATTTGGGAACTCTGGTCTGGGCGAAGAGCTTTGTTTCGAGTTCTGATCGCGATCGTAGTCTTTGCTGTGGATACGTTTGCGCGATCTAGGCTCCGTGTTGCTTAGATCGCTCTCCACGTCGGAGTCGAGATCCAGTGGAAGGTAGGGCACCTTCGAGCTCGAGTCCTTCTTGCCATCTTCGTCGCTGGAGCTCAGCTCGACGTCCGTGTCCAGGTGTCGTATGTTGGACTTTTGTTTCTGCGACGTTTGAACCACGGAAGGCTTTGGATCTGTTCGTCGATCGCCAGGACCTATGGGCCCGTACTTCAGCGGCGTGTTGTCGAATGATTCTTCTGCTCTTCGAGAATGTTCGGGAGACTCGGTAGGCCTCGTTTCTGATTCGTTGGTAACGACCACTCTGGTCGTTGCGTCGTCTTCGAATGGAAAAATAGAAAGCAGAGTTGTTAGTCTATCGAGGAATACTGAAATATTTTTCTCACCATTATTGGCAGTGTCCGATGGCTCCACCGTTTTAGGGGTCGACGGATTTGGCATCAGCTGTTGCATTTCAGCGCCAGGTGGAAGTTCTTTTTCTTCCTGAGAGTAGAGGTCCAGTTCCTTGCAAAGGAACCATAAAACGATCTTCAGCAGGACGCACAAGATCAATAGACCACCCGTCAGGTAACACAGATAATTGCCAAGCTTTAAACTGTCGTGCAAGTGACAGCTGATCTCCTCGTTTCCCCAGTATTGGCACGTCAGGTCTGCTATCGTGTCGTAAAGAAATTTTCCCGGAGTGTTGGCAAAAATGGCCGACCACATCATCCAGAAACCGATGCTCAGAGCTTTGTCTTGGGCGTAGACCGATCTTAAAGCCACCAACAAGTCCCCGACGAAGGACGAGGCCCCCAACACGTACGCCAACATGGAACCGAACTGAAGAAGAATGAAATTTTCAATATCTTCCGAATTCTGAAGATCGAAATAAATGCTGATGTACTCGCCTCGAAGATCAGCCAACCGAGTTGACAGGCGTTCGAGTTGCAGGGTCCGTCCCATGCTTCGCCATCTTTCGAATTTGTCATATCCTCCACGCAACTGCAATCGCTGTAAACCGTTCTACCGTTTTTCACGTCGCTGGAAGTACATCCAGCGTGGCAGGCACTGTAGAAGGTGAACTTGCCTTTCGCGTCGCAAACGGGACGAAATTCGGCGTCGTTCGAACAGCCGCAATCTTTATTGCAATACTTCGGGAGGTAAATCCTTAAAAGAACACACAGGTGCTTCGTTTATCCACCATATTACTTTTATGAGTAATTTTAAACATTATTAGATCTTGACAACGCATTTAAGGGACATTAAACTCTGTAAAGTGCATCGTATTCAAATTAATTAATTTTAATTATTTATTTCGAAGCCACGAAACGAAGCAAGTCAGAATCGAGGGTACAAAAAATTTTAAAAGAGAGATTTCTTTATATTTTGCTTACAATCCTCTGTCGTCGGTGCCAACTATGGGATTCTTTTCGCAAGCTGTGGCGGTCAACGAGAAAATAATTCCAGCCGATAAAATTAAAACGACGACGCCATATCCGACGACGCTTCTGGCGCTGGGTTTTGCTTTGGTTATTACTAGGCCAGTGAGTATCACAATCAAGCCAATTAGTATTGGTTTTAAAATGTCTGGAATTAAAGGAAATTTTGATGTAACTCCCACGCTATAAATTCACGATTATTGCGATTATTAATATTCCTGTCTTACTCGCTACCATCCTCGAGTACATTGGATCATTGAAACCGAGCATCAGTCCGATTGGCTTCGGTACGTGAAATCTCGATTGCATAATAAGGTTCTCGTAACCCATGAAATTCACGATCGCCATAATGTAGAGCGCGCAGGCCAGGACGTTGCATATTAAAATTTTATTAACGAATAATCTGCTCAACGATGGCCAGAAATTCGTACCGCCAACTTTCTTCGTGATCGATCTTCGAGACCCTCGATTATATCTGCTAGAACTGTTTAATAATGAAGCTGCAGCCTGTTCAACGACCTGGTGTAATTATGAACGATCATTCCATCGAGTGATATAGTTGTAATTCATCGTAAGTCCTGATTATTTGGCCATTCCATGAGAAATCAACAACGTTTCGAATTTGATCGAATTGTTGATTTTACTTTTCACTTCTCAAAGAATAAACATTCGAATTTTGTAAATTTACACAGCTTTGATCTGCAAACTATGTATTAGCAGAAATGAATTCAGAAAGTGTGAAATTAATGAATCAAAAATCAATTCCTGCAACCGCGCGTGTTTCGTGTTCGTTCAAAGAGACGCCATCAAATATTCGTTGCGATTTAAAGAATTAATGCAACTCGAATAATTGCGAACGTAGTACAGGTTTTAGAAGATTGCGAGGTATATTTGGAAAGCTTTCAATCGTATCTGCCTCATACTGTCAATGGACAAATATTGAGAGATCCAATTTAGAATCTATAGGGTACTTAAGAAGAGAATTTTTCGATGAACTGGAAAGCCGAATACCGAAATTGCGAGCCCCTGATTTCAGTGCATAGAATCAGAGCAGTTATTTCAAATAAATAATCCAATCTCGTTCCATCTAATCTCGAAATATTTATTTATTCCATCGATAAGCATCATTGACGTGTGCTAAATTCTCAAAAGTCGAAGAAAATGTTCTTTCGAGACGAAACGTTTGTAAAATCAACAATTTTGTATATTTTAAAAAATCGTTCAAAATACTTTAATGACTTTTTTGTTGCCCAATTTTAACTGGAATGACCATGTTACGAGTCGCGTTTAATATTAATTATTTTTTGTAATTACCTCTGATGGCAGCATTCTGGGGAACCATGAGAGTAATAAACCAGGAACTATCAATAATATTGTGAGAATCGGAAATCCTAGCCACCATGCTCCAATCTGGTCTCTGTACGAGTCTATAGTAGTCAAGGTTACTGCGTCTATCCTGCACCAATAAGTATTTTTTAGAGATACATTTGCTTGGAAATTCGCGACAGTCGATCCATTTCAATTAGTGGCCATTTAATTCGTTTCGTTTAATTAGTTTTACTTGTAACTACTACCTGTTGCTAAAAATCTTAACGTCGCGATAAATCGTTCGTTGGATCGTATACTATTTCTAGGGATCGTGTTTTTCTTTAAATTTTGTAATTACTAATTGTAATTTTCGCAAAAACTAAAATGTATTCGTAAATCTCGATATGTTTAGAATCTTTCGAAGTCAAAACGAAATAAAACAAACAAGCGCGCGCTCTGAAAAGGGGTCGCCACAGCTGACTGGTTTAACGTATGGAACGATTAATGCAAGCAATTTGTTCTTATTATAGTTACTCACCTGAGACAGCCCCACGCCAGAATGTACCCCAAAAGAACACCGACGATTTTCACAGCGATAATGACACCGATGAAAGCAGCCACATGCTTCTTTTTCGTATTATCGTCTAAATAAGAAATACCCAAGGCAAAGTATGCAACGTTCGCCACTCCCGCCATAATTTGCACGACCACGATCATAGCGAACGTGAAGTAACAGGATTCGTCATCTTTTGCAATTATTCTAGACAAGGCTGGCGAACACAGTTCTCGATGGTCGTCTGGAAAATGAATTTTTCAAATTCTTTGAAATGAACTTTTTAAATTCGAATTTTGTTCCTCACCTGCGTATAACGACATGTGCGTGACGTTGTTTGTATCTTCGACGACCTTGATTTGATGCGTCAGATGAGGAATTATCATGATGAAATATGATACACTTTGTAAAAGAACTATACCACCGATCCAGGCCACTCTATGGATCCTATCGCCCCAATATGCGACGAGTAATCCAAAAAGAAAGGGTGTCAAATCTGATATTACAAGGACCCATTCTGTAATATTCAAGTATCCTTTAGAGAAATTCATTGTGCCGTGTCTCGTTCAATGAATTGTTTTTGTTAAAAATTTGACGAAAGCGAGAAGTTCTTTAACCGTGATGAGATTAATTAATGTAATTGGAATACGTGCCCATTATGTAAGGATCGAATTGAAATTTTCTTGCTATCGTGGGGCCGGATACGTAAAAATATGCGTACGCAGCAGTCTGAACCAAACCGACCCACGACATCAGTCCAACGAAGAGTCGTCTGGTTGCAAATTTTGCTAATTTCGGGCATGGTAATTGTGCACAACCGCAGTCTATCGATTGACTTGGTATCGGATTGGCTGGTCCTGACAAACCACCTTCTACTTCCGATCTCACCACTTCTTGAAGATGTATGGTCATTCCTTCGAGACAGAATCGATATTTGAGTCCCAGAAACGCTTTATTAGCTTGTTGCTACTTCAGAAACGCTCAAATAAAATTCCGATCTAACAAATTCACTGTCTTAATGATTGATCAAAACTATCACGATTCACGCGTTGCACACTCGTAGGAAGTAATTCTAAAAGTGTTTGATCCGAAGGTGACTCATAAGTTAATAAAAATAATTCAACAGTAATAATTGTGACACTTTGAATCATATCATTCTTTATTAGGGGATGTAATGTGACTCATGAAGTTCTGAGTCATTATTGCCTTGAACCACGTGTCGATCAATGGACTCCGAACATGAGATAACATAGCACTATTTATCAAATTTTAATATTGCCAAAAGAAAATTTTCTATCTGAAAAAAGTGAATTAGGAAGCACGAAATTATTTGCTTGATATTAAGTAGTAATATTCGATTCTTTAAATGGTGTCTAGTGTCTATTACACGCGATGATTAGAAGATTTAAGATATTAGTCACGTTCCACCTTCTTAGATAAAAATAGATCAATATCTTTGCTATTCGAGGTATTTGATTTAATACAAACTTTACACGCAGTTTTTTTAAAAACTAATAAATTAAAATCGACTCGATATCGCTAGTAATTTTTATCAAATCTGCAATTTTTATTTTTGTTCTGTTATTCTGATTTCCAGGCATGCATTTATTCCGAATAAGTGTTGGCTTCTATTTCAGATTTTCAAAACAGAATATCTTTTGTCAATGACGAAGAAAATGTTTTCTTTCACTTATTTAAACCGTCAATATAATAATAAGGTGATGTTTCGAACCTTATCAACCCATTTTTCAAAGCATCAAAGTAGAAACCCCCCTAAAAAGTTGTTTCATCAGTCACACAGCAATAGAGAAAGCAAACATACATAGAACACACGTGCCTAGTGCGTTTATGTGTCATTATGAATCACCTGATGACGTATTCGGGTAGAGTATTCTCAGAATTTCTATGTCATTCGATATGCGAACGAACCTTCGTACCCGTCAGAAGTTATCCTAATGCTATACTCGTCGTTTATCGTCTTCCGATAGTTGAACGGGAGATCTTAATTTACCGTTGTCGTTGGATTCCCGTAAACTTACTTCAACGAGAAATCGGTCCGTCGACCGATCAGCGCCTACTTTTATTCACAACACGCCACTGGAACGTACTGCTTTTCGTAACTGGTGCAACCATAAAAATGGTCGCGCAATCACATGATGATACGGACAAGTAGAATCGCGTCGTTCTCGTTCCTGTTCGCCGTTTTTCCTGCGTTTCACGTAAAAACTGGGCTAACAGACAAACCAGCTCGACCAGCGTGAGGCCAGAGGCGCAGCACTTTTAATCGACGAACTCAAGCGTTATCTTATTACAGATACGCCGCTCAGATATCCTCCGATAAAGTTAAGAGTGTAGTATACGCATGTGCTACGATACGTGCCATGGTAATGCTCGCACCTCGACACGGGACGGGAAAAATATTTACGCGTTACACATGGCCAATTATCATTAACAGGTATTAATCGTAATATGATCGCCCTCTAACCCTTCGAAGTCCGTTTTTCACGTTTCGATAGGTCCATAATTTAGTCAATCCCACTTGTAAGTCAATATTCGTGTGTATATTTTTATTGGACTAATGGAAACACAGTTCACAGTAGGGGGTTGAAAATAACTATTATGGATATATCAATTTCAAGTGTTCTTCATATTATATCTAACTATTTTGACGTTGGACAGATTCACAATTTATTTTATTATATTATAGTGGGTGTTAGGTTTATTTTAAATTTAGTGTTCCAAAAAGTGATTGAAGCGAAATATTTTATTCGATCGCTTGCTGTTTGCTCCCTCGACTCGTACATAGTGTGAAATCGCTTATTTGTATATTAGTAATAATCTTATCATTGCTTTCAAATAATGACTATTAACATAGAAGGAATTAGAAAGAGTCCCAAGAAAAAGCAGATCGGTTTGCTATCGTTTTTCCAGTATCTTCTGGAACGTGTGAGTTTCAGTCTGAAATCGTCCAATTTCGAAAATGTCGCGAGCCAGTCTGACGACGCTCGAGGTCTAAGGCATCGGGAAAGGAGTTAGCGCGCTTAAGCACACTTAAGTCGTCGCCATAAGAAAATGACGAATGCCAATTAGCATATGAAAAGCTTCCCCCCTCTCCCCCTTTCGCCACCCCCGGGTCGCCCAGTTCGTTCGGACGAACGGTAGCTTCGGGGCAGCTCCTTCGTTCGGGACGCTTGGCAGGGCGATCACGTTTTTGAATATTAAGGGCAGGATTACACCGAGGGCTTAACGCGCGAAATTTAGTCTGGCGGGGCCAGGAACGAAAAGAAATCACCCTTAAGACCGTCGAGAGTAACCGGAGGAAGAGACAACGACGCCAGGAAATCGGTAAGAGGGATGCACGGACCTCCCGACTCCCAGAGAGCTTCTCGTCACCCTCTGCATGCATCATCCTCTTAACCAGCGACACTGGTTTGCGATGATAAATGAATAACCCCGCTTTCCAGAATTGGATCAGCATCTAACGCGCGAAAGAAAAATGGACGAAGGGAATTTGATGTATTTTTAACGTTTAGATTAGGGGGGTTATCTAAATTAAGAGGGTAGGAAGAGGAAGTTGACAGAGTTGACCAATATTAAGTTGATGCTTTTGTGTATTTTCGTATGCTACAAGAAGATTAAAAACCTTTATTAGCTTTTTGAAGGAAAGAAGGCCGTTTAAGGGGTTCTTCTAGTGTGAAGACCGTTTTTTTAGGCTTTCTCGGGGAATTTTTTGTGAATAAACTGTAAGATCTTTTGCAGTCAAATTTACAAGGTTTATTTATGCATACTTTAGTGATATTTTAAAATTTTTTGGGCGAAGAAAAGTATAAAATTAAGGCATAAGATTAAGCAGATACTCTGGGATAAATTTTAATGGGGTATTCTAGAGGCCAAAATAAGACGAAAATCAAGAATACCAATTTGTTGATGGAGGCTTTGTTAACAAATTATTAACGTTTAAAGTTCCGCTCGTACTGAATTTTTTTTTCGAAAATGCGTAGAATTTCAGAGGTATGTCTATTCACCAAAAATTATTGTAATTGACTCCCTTGATCGAAAATAATTTTTCCAAAGCGATTTGACATTTTTTAATTTTGTCGAAAAATTTCACACTATCTCGAATTTTTTTCTCAAAAATGGGTAGAAATTCGAAGGTATGTCTATTCACCAAAAATGATTGTACTTAACCCCCCTAACTACAAATAATTTTTTCAGAACGATTTGGAAATTTTTTTTTCGCCGAAAAATTTAGGAGCACCCCTATCGATTTTCCTTAAAAATTCGTTTTTGATTTTTAGTAATCTTGTTTTACGCTCTACAGAAAAATGGTCCAATAGTTTTTTGTAGGTACCTACGATCTTTACTTGAGAAAAAAGTTTCACTGAAATATATTCACTATTGTAGGAGTTATGGTTGTTTGAAGATTGGACCATTTTTATGGGGATTTTTTTCACGTTACAGGGTTAAGGAATAAATTTTCTAATATTTTTGGAATTTCTACATATTCTGCATCAAAATACGCGTCGTTTGCATTTTTGAACATTAAAATTCTCCAATCCGTTCAGGAGTTATGACGTTTTAAACATACGCATGAAATTTCAAGGGAACATTTAGGGTCAAGCATTATAGTTTCGGTAAGGAATTTTTTTCTCGAAAGTGCGTAGGAATTCGGGAGTATGTATAATGACCAAAAATGATTGTAATTGACCCCTGCAACCGAAAATAATTTTTTTAGAACGATTTGGAATTTTTGAATTTAATTGTTAATAACTTTTTAACGAAGCCTCCATCAATAAATTGGTATTCTTGATTTTCGTCTTATTTTGGCCTCCAGAATCCCCCATTAAAATTTTTCCTAGGGGTGGTCGAACACCCTATATATTTTCCACACTATATTCTTTAAGAAAATGCAAAAAAAAGATCAAAAACCCCCTTAAGTTTTTCGTTAGCAGAAGCGTATTCAAGCAGATATTATTTTATTCAATAAAATTTGTTTTCTAATAGTAGGAGGCTTTGCTATGCACGCAGGTCTCGAGAAAATTGACTAGTGTGCCTAATCCTTGGAGGTAGCGTAGGGTCGAAATAACGGGTCCAGACCAGGCTTCGCTTGCGATATTTTACAGGGGTTATCGATTTGCTTCTATGATTCGAATATTACCTTTCTAAAATACAGTAAAGGAAGAAAGTAAACAACGAGAAATTAATTTCTACGATATTTCGAGAAAAATCTGTCATATCTCGATGCTATTTTAGAAACCAAACCGTAGAAGAAGCATCTCGAACTCTCGATGGCCCTTCGAGGGGGTCGTAGACGCGTCTGTACGTAATCATAACGATCGCGCGGGCGTTTGTGGCGGCATGGCTGAAACGTAGAAACGTATCTGTACAGACAGTACGTAAGTACGTCTATAGATATCTCGCGCAGGAGGATGCAGGCTTTCCATTAGGAGAGTGAGTGACCACCGCTCGCATTTTCTTTGATGTCGGTTAATTTACTAATAACATCGTTCCTCGGCTACTCGCCGTCCACCCTCTAAATATTTGTATCGCCAACATATCGACTTGTCCTCATGTAATTAAGCCACATTATTATTTGAGTGGTAACGGCCCGGGAAAAAGACCCGTCGCCGACCGACCTCGACTCGTACCGAAATTAACTTTCCATCAGCCGCGGGGCTGCTAAACTGCTCGAGATGAATTTATACGCCCGACGACAGGGCCGACAAGCTCCGTTTGACCGTACTTTTCTCGCGAAAATTGCTCCAAAGTTTTACAATTACACACAGCCACAATCTACTACGCGAGCAAAAGAAAAAATTTCATTTCATCCCGGATAGTTCAGAATATATAAACTATGTGTGTGTGAGAATGAATTATTGCTTTTATTGTGAATGAACTGTGAAGATATTTAGAGAACAGATCGATTACAAAAAAGAGGATTGAAGAAATGTGTATTTAACAAAACCAGTTGTTATTATATTAAATGTATATTGGTTATACTAAAACGTGTTATAAATTTATTCCTGTTGCATCTATAACGTGAACGTGGTTCGTGAGGGTAGTTTTCCCGATCGAAGATCGAAGAGCGATGGCGAACACGTTGATAAAGAGAGAAAGAGGCTTCCCCCGGGCGTTTTACAATGTTCTTACGCGCGGCTAATCGAGAACATTCTGAAAGCGTGGTCTCAGACGATTAGCACGAGATTTAAAAAAATGGAGAAAAAGGAATCCAGGGCGAGGGAGGGTCGAGAACGACGAGGCGACCTTCTTAGGTTAGGAGGAGAGGGAGCTGGTTCGGCGATCTTAGCAGAGGATTACGTAGAATTAAATCCCGCACGGGGGCGTGCCCCCGTAACACTTAATTTTTCCCTCGATTTTTTAATCTGCCGGTAAATATCGTCCCGCTCTGTCCACCCCCCCCCCCCTTCTCCGTTGTTCCCCAGCCAGTTGGCCGCCCGCGTCTTTCGTGCTCTCTCTTACTATCGTCAAAGGAGAACCCATTTAAAAACCTCATCAATGCTTAAGCCCCCGTGCTACCATAGGAACTAATCCCTCCTATTTTAACGCAGAACGAAGGTGAGAGAGCGAACCCGGAGGGAGAACGGCGGCGGGATAGAAGGAGAGAGAGAAGCGGCAGTACGCGCTTTTAAAAGTAAGACTCCGCCTTTATTAGTAGATACAACAGTTTTATTTCCACCGAAAAAGGCAAAGGAGAAACCGAGAGAGAAGAAGAAAGAGATCCCGGCGGATCGAGTCTTCCTTTATTTCCCTCTGCCTCCCTCTTTTGGGACGCTCTTAACTCGAACGGGTGTTCCTCGTCTTCTGGAAACGAGCTTACCCGACGTGCCTCGACCTTTCAGACACTCCTAATTGGTAGTCTCTGTCAACCGCGCAAGAAACGATAACACGCTGCTTCAGGGGGGTTTAACGATACCCGTGATCGAATTTATTCAAAATGAAAAACGATTTATTAAGAAAAATCGTCAGGGGGTAAGTGCCTAAATTTTTCGGTGAAAAAAAAAATTTCAACTTATTTTGAAAAAATTATTTTTGGCTGCGGGGGTCAATTACAATCATTTTTGGTAAATACACATACCCCCGAAATCCTACACATTTTCGAGACAAAAATTCTTTAACATATACCACGTCTGTGATTATGTTCCTTACTTT